CCCCCTCTTCCACGCCGCCGTGATGGTGAAGTAAGAGAACTAGTTTTCTTTGTTTACATGAACTGGTTATTAACTAGTTCTAGGTTCACATGACTGAGATGAGACGTCTGGTCCGCCGCATGGGCCATGTGGTCCCCTGTGAGAGTTGCAAGGATGCACACAAAGCTAAGTGTAAGTAATGATTAACTACTGATCCTGAACCACTGACCAACCAGTTCTACCAGTGTGCTGCAAGTATGAGGAGTGTGAGCACTTTGCACTTTTTGATAGTGGTGACCAGGGAAAGTCCTCTGAAGAAGAGGAGTCCAATGAAAGTGAGGATGAAGACTAAGCTTTTTCTGTTGAATTTTGCCACAGGCTTGGTAGCTATTAGATGTTAATGAATTGATATTCCTATCTAAACCAACTAGTATGTGACGGTTTGACGTCGTGTCTATGGTTTGACGTCGTGTCTACGACTCGACGCTGCGTCTACGACTAAGTATGACAAATGAATTGAACAAAGTCGACATGGATAGAACCATACCGTACAGTCATCTATAAATAACCCCTTCATCTGCTAGATAGAATTCCTTTCCTTTTGCTTCTTCAGATTCGATATTCCCGTCGATGGCTACTAGTTGGTTTAGATAGGAATATCAATTCGTTAATATCTACTAGCTACCGAGCCCGTGACATAGTAGCCATCAATGAGAATATCAAATCTGGAGAAAGAAAAGGAAAGGAATTCTATCTAACAGATGAAGGGTTTTTTATAGACAGCTGTACGGCAGGGCTCTATCCATGTCAACTCTATTCAATTTGTTTGTCATAATTAGTTGTAGATGCAGTGTCAAGCTGTAAACACAACATCAAGTTGTCACAATTTCTTTCTATATTGAAATGTTAGGGTTTGAACTCAAGTTGTCTTAACCTAAAGCTACCCTTTATTATACAAGAAGGAATTGTTGAAGAAGAAACAAATAGAGCTGAGACAGAAGCCTTTTTCTATGGTTGTACAGGAATGATATTCCAAATAGTATTCTCTGTGGTCCCTCTCAGAGGTCAGCAGTTGGATGAAGGGGTCGCTGGAAGTTCTTGTATGCCAGGGGATCGTATGACAGTCATTGATAGTTTTTTTGGGCCCTTTCTGGCTGCTTTATGTGCTGGCCTTGGCAAAACAGTCATCCTTTGGGTTCATACGCGAACCCTATAACATGAAAGAGGAAGGTTAAATGGAACTATTTAAGGGTGGGAACTAGTCCTCCCTCGTATAGCCTGAAGTTGCTCCTCAAGCTCTAATTGCCTTTCCAATAACCTTACCCGCTCTCTATCATATTCCAGATCTTCTTCTTGCTGTCGGGTTTGATATTGGAATTGAAGATTAGTCATTGCAGTCTGTTGCAGATTTGGTGTCCTGAGAAACTAGTTAATGTATGGACTAGTGAACTAGTATATGGAGATGACGTACTGCATATGAGTTGATCTTGCAGATGGGGAATTGACAGACTGTCTATTTATATGAGTATGGAACTAGTTCCGAACTGGTCCTTAACATACCTTGACCTTAAGGATACCACAGATGGTGACCTCGAAGCCTGACCTCTAGAAGAATGAGAGCTACCTCTTCTTCTTGCAGGTATAAATCCAGAGGAGCTAGACTGAAACAGGATATCATCTCCTATATCTGACTGTCGAGAATTGGAATGATTGGCCTGCTTTCTTTTGCGTGCATCTGTATAGAAGTTAGTAAACTAGTTCCAGGAACTAGTTTAGGAAACTGGTTGCGTACTCTCATTACCCAAATGATTGTAATATCGGGTCTCTAGGCTATTATCTCTGGAATTGTGATAGACTCCGAAGGCCACTCTAGCATTGTACTGGTCAATATCACGTTGATCAATCGTGAAAGACCTAGACTTATTAGAATGTTTTGGAACTAGTTAGGAACTAGTAAACATACCCTAATGTGGCACCAAGCAAAGAATCATATACACCCATCCAGTATGACTTATAATGACTCTGCTCAACAGCATTCGTAATATTCCTTGTAGATTCAAAGAAGGTAGGGTTCATCAAGGAACAAGATTTATTTAGACCAGCTGCAATAACAGGGTGTTTTTTATGCTCGGCCCACTGAACAATCTCTGAACTCTCATTATCTACAGAGCTAGTTAGAAACTGGTTTAGTTGATAACTAGTTCTCCACTTACCTTGTAAAAGTGCAATCAAATGATAATAGTCATCTTCACTCTCACAAGATAGAAGACTTTTCATTCTAAACCAGGGAGAATGATACAGCTCTTCAGATCCTAAATCCATATCTGATCCCAATAGCCTAGTGATTGTTCGCTTGAAGTGAACATGGCAAAAAATAATGACATTTTTGAGCTGCCATGTCCACGGTCGACATAATGGATCAAGAGATTGAAGGTAGTGGCCAAGACCTGAGAACTAGTTAGCAACTAGTCATGAAATAACTGGTTTATCACTCACCAGACATTTGCTTTGCATCCATATCAACCACAACAGCTTTTATCCCACTATTATGTAAATAATGGAACTCGACTGGTCTCCCACATACTTCAGAAATAAGAGAGAACACTTGTTGGAATAAAAGCCTATAGCTTTCAGCCGTTTCCTGATTGATAAAGACCCGGAGCAGTGTGAAGACTAAACTAGTTAGCACCTAGTTTTGGAACTAGTTCTAATATCAAGAGCTCACCCTTGTTATGATCAGGAAGAAATGTTGCAAAAATCACCTCATTAAAGGCTCCCTTGACCCTCTTATAGGACATATCCACCTCAAAGCTTGATAGAGAGGCTAGAAATTGAATTTGTTGGTCAAATCCACAAATGATCATAATACAATCATTTTCTGCAAATATTCGCCGTACATAGGTCTAAACTAATCAGTATAGAACTAGTTCTCCACTGGTTCACCAAACATTACCTGATATTTTACATTTCGTTGGCGCTCAAAGACCACCCCATTAAAGTCCCTTCCCTGGGGAAATAGCAGAGCTCTTATCTTAGTGGTAAGAGCTGAAAGTTTGTCTTGATTTACAAAGCTATAATGGATCTGAGAGAGTTCCTTTCCATCATACCTCTGACAGAATTCCTTCAGCTGTGGGCTGCGGAGGAAAGTGCCTGATAAACCAGTTAGTAACTAGTCCTCAGGATGAAGTGATTAATACTTACTCAATGTCAGATCTGGATTTCGCATGCGCTTCATCAAGTCGAGAATCTCATCTAAAATGATTTGTGGTGGCTTGGTTGGAGGTGGGGGAGGATGAGAATGAGTGCCAGTAGATAAAAAGATAGCATATGGACACTCATCTAGATCCAATGGAATAAGAACCCTAAAAGAGACTTTACAGCCCATCATTGTCATTTTTCCTGGACCTTGGGGATGAGATACACCTATAGTAACTGGTTAGCATCTTGTTCTGGGAATAACTAGTTTAGATACTTACCACATGTTGGACGGCGGCTTGTTTTCTGTTCAATAACACCACATAACTCATTATCGAGGATCGGACTCTCTGATTCAAAAAGACTCTGTAAAAGAGGAACATCATAAGACACAGATGACGAGCTCAGATTTAAGAAGAAGTGCAGAGTCTTATTATCTGCTAAAAGGCGATTAGCACAGGTAATAAATGGATGGCAAACCCCGGCAATATCCTTAACTAGTTAGCATCTAGTTCACCATATCAGAATTTAGTAACTCACTGGTCTGAATCGCCCAAATATAGGACGACAGCCAGGCTGTGGAAAGGAACATCCATTGTTAACTGCAAATCGTTTCTGAATGGCACGAAAAACACTGTGAGTGAACTAGTTAGTAATTAGTTCTAGAGATTAACAGTCAACTAGTTGACATGCCTCCGGGACCGTCGCTCCTCCATAGAAGTGTCTCTCTGAATCAATTGAGCATGAGTATCTCTTATATGTTCAAATATTGATTCTGTAGCATGCGTATGACTCAACCCTTCTAATTCTGAGGAAAGATATTCACATCTTCTAACCCCAGTACACTGAAGAGCATATCTCTTGACCTGACATCTTAGGAAAGTTGAGTATGTTTCACGGCTTGAACCCACACGCCGGTGAGAGTATTGAAACTAAACCAGTCAGTAACTAGATATTAGAGGTAAACTAATTCTATCTTACTGATGTCAATGCTTTTCCAATAACATCAGGATGTAGAGCACGTGTATTGATAATGTATGCATAACCATTGGGATCCGAGGCTGGATAATCGGGCAGAAAATCAATGTATTCAACTTTAGCAGCTGTCATTGGATTCCGGGCTCCATGGCTTAAAACAGTGAGTGGTGGCATCTACATAAACTAGTTAGTAACTAGTAAAAACTGGGTGTACTCCACGTATATATGTATATATATTTGTACCTGATTTGGTGGGGTAACATCGTGTCTTGCAGTATTCCGATCATGTAAAATCTGCTCGTTTTGTTCATCATATAGACTGGATTCAGAGATAGAATCCGGTACAGTAGATGAATCAAGATTAAGATCAATAAGATCATTGATCAATGTATGATCATTCTCAAGGTAATCATAAACATTGATCGTTTCCATGATGAGAACTAGTTGTACGAAATATGTACATGGTACGTTACAGAGTGCGGTAAGGCCAGGGTGGGCTGAGCTTTTATGTTTGAGGTCACATGTGCCAAGAGCCCCACTTTGAGGGTGGGCTGAGGTCTGCGGTCGGGTGGCCTCAACTGTAATCTGCATACACAATGTATCATAAGTTATTCTCTGACGTAAAATAGTTACTACTACTACTACTACTACTACTATCATAAGTTATTCTAGCACTACTGAACATCTTAGGCCTTGGAGAAAAATGTTTGAAAAGCAAAAAGGAAAAAGAGTGATACTAGCATTCCGCACGCTATACCCAGCTATTTGGAAACATGAATATCATATAGCCACAGCAGTCATTCATTGAACTTTTCTTATTCTTCTCCGCAATTTAAAAATTCTGGTTCGTAGCCAGATTATGAAAATCATCCAAGTGTTTTTGGATTGAGATTTCCATGATTTTAGCGTCGACTGTTGTTGGGAAGCGGTGGTAGCACGAGGCATTTCCGCTGTGCCAGTCTTTTCCTCGGGCGTCGACGAATGCATTTCGTCATCTCTCATCGATGTTCGCCAGTATTGCTGTTCCCTGCGGCGCGTCTGCTTCTCTTCTTCTTTCATCTGTTGTTGCTCGAGCTTGCGGTTTTTGGCCTCTTCCTTCTCCTCAAAAGCTTGACGCGCCGCCTGGATTGTAGCTGCCCGGGACACGGGGTCAACGCTTGTCCGAGTCTTAGATCGGAACACAAAATCCAGTGATGATCTGGATATTGGAGAAGGAGTATCAAGGGCACTGCCGTTATCTCTTGCATATCCAAAGGACGATCGACCCGTGACGTTCGTCTGTGATATTGTAGGCAACGGTGTGGAAGAACCGTCATGGATCTGCAATGACAGTCGCGGAGCCTGAGCACGCACAAAGGGATGAAAAGTATCAGAGCTTGATCGGGCCAGAGACTCTCTCTCAATAGAGTCCCTGTCTTCAGAGCCATCGCTTATTGAAAGCGATGGCTGATAAGACTGGCCCATATGTGCATAAGTGCGAGGTGCTTGACGCGATGAATGGATGTACTTGGAGACTGGCCTCCTCGTACTTGTGTTGCAAGCCGTGATTTGATTGGTTCCACTTGAAAGTCGACTATGATAGTCGGATTCCTTGGACCCAGTAAACAGATCACACTGCCTCCCCCTTTCAGTAGTCGTGTGGATTCCTAGACCATCACGTTCGCCCACAGATCGTGAAGAGTTGATCAAAGTCATTGAGGGCGCATCATCCAGGGAGGTCTTCTTGGGTAGTGGCCTTGTATGTATTCTTGGCTTCGAGGTCCCTTTTGACCTCTGTGACTCATGGCTACATTTTTCAAAAGTATTCAGAGTGGACTCATCCGTCAACCGCCGCGACCATAAAGGTCGTTTGCCAGGCGTTTGATCCGAGATGACAGCCCCGAAAGACATTGAATATCTTTCTCCTCCCTCTACGGAGAGCAAGATATCAGATGCACTCGAGGATGGAGGAGCTTCACTGGAGTTGTCAAGCCTGGAATAAGGATGAACTAGCAATGGCGTATCATTTCGGGATTCGTTCCACGACGTTTCAATGTCGGAAATTCAGGTGCATGGGACGGGAACTAATTCCGGAGAAAACAGGGGTTCCCACAGATCCAGGATTTTGGATTTAGTATTGGTGATGATTGAGCAGATGAATCTCAGGGCGTAGCGAGTGAGGTGTGTTGAAAGTCGTTCGAGGTGCCCTCGCTTGATGTCCTTCTCTTTATTCACACTCCTCTCTCGCGCGCGTGCGCGCGCTCTCTCTCTCTCCAGATCACTCAGGCCGGTACGGAATATTTCAGCAATATGCTGCGCAATTCATCGTCATTGAAAATAGAAAATCACCACGAAGTGAACGGGATCGAAATCCGAAGCAAACAATGTAGTGTGGACGACCGATTCTATCTTGTCCCTGATTCAAAGCGCTCTTGCCGACTTGAGGATTCCTGGAAAATGAAGATGGATACTATTTAAAATGATAAATAAAGTAACTGGCTGACGTTTTGCGTCAAAGCTAAGCAGTCAAGATGAAGAAGGGGGCATTAAAACCGGAAAACTGAAGCATGGATATGAGATAGATTGATGGTCTGAATAGACATTTCTAGGGAATTATTTTGCTGAAAAAGAAATAATGAGGCCCAGGTAAATGGAGGACGACTAGTCCAGCGGCCACAGTCAGTAGTACAGCGCGTAATCAGTACGAAATGGTAGTTGCGGTGGTGAGAGTCGCAGTGCTACTGCAGAAGACGGCGGTGAGGTTGCGAGGGTGTAATCGCCGTGTGGTTGAGCGGAGCCGCCGGATGCGGAGGGGCAGTACTCCGTATGTACAGAGTACATAGTACATATTTGCTAGTGGTAATAAATGTATATAGGTATCCGTACTTTGATTTTCTCTGTAATCCCAGTCTTTGGTGATGTTCATTGCTATTCTCAATATTGCTTGTCTTGCTTATGTATTTACATGACGAATACTTTTTCAGTACTCTGTATGTGGCATCCATAAACGTGAACCTATATACCAATACCCTTGTACTCCGTATGGGTATTATTCGATAAAATACTACCCCGTACCAGTGGTCGCGTATTACCGAGGACGCCCGGGCTACGGGGTAACCATATCCGTACCGAGCTGACCGAATGTTCTTCAACAAAACCCTACTTGTACGAAGTACTCTGGAGTACATACTCCAAGACAAGAGGCATACTACATATGCACTTTGTATGCATCGCCCTGTGTAAGCTGCGGCCAATCCATCCAAGGTAATACTGTACATACTACATAAGGTATCTATATATAGTGTATTAAGTACGGAGTATTACTCCGTGCTTAAGAGGATACAGAATTCTGGAATCAACGATGAATCTCGCAGACGCGGCAGAAAAAGCGCCAAGAGCACCGGCGCCATCGCCTAAAAAACGCCAAGACACACCAATCGAGGTGCCAAGAACAACCTTTCTCCAGTAGGAGTCCGTACTCCGGAGTACGGGAGTACACAAACAGCACTAAGATGTACGGGGTACTCTTCTGTTACAGAGTACACGCTAAGAATATACAGTATCGTCATGGGATCCCTCCACGGCGGGGTCGTCAGATCCCCCTCCTCTGTTCTCGTTTCTTTTTCTCCTTTCCACATCTCTTCTTGTTGAATATATCGTTAGTGTAGAGATTCGGGCCCAAGACCCTTTTCCGTTCAGTTGACGATTGGACTTCATTTTGTTTATAAATAAGTTTTCTCTGACCTATTCCAGAAAGGCTTGCTGGAACCATGGGAACGTCCTTCCAAAGCCTTTGCTTTACTCTCGTCTTGGTCTTGGCCATCGCTGGAGAGGCACATGCATTCGGAGCTGGCAATATCGCGTCGTTATCACGCATTGAGGGCCAGAATTGGCGTCATGGCGATATCGAAGACGCTCTTTTAACCCTATTCTTGGCGCGCATTGCCGGTGGCAAAAAGTTCAGCAAGCTCGATGTGCAGCGTGTCTATTTTGGAAACTGGCTTCGCGACTATAGCCAAGCTGTTGATATTGGCACTTTGAAATATGTTAGTGCCGAGGCTATTCGCATCCTCATCTGGGTCCTGGGATTCATGACGTTTGGTTATGGTACCAATGAATTCGAAGTGACGACTGAGCGACTTGGATGCTATCAGCCCACGGAGCACATCGATAACCCTCTCGGTTATGGTGAAGGCCTCGACGGTCGAGACTATGATCGCAGGTTGAGAGGCCCCGTTGATGAGGAGCGGGAACTAGCAATTGACCCCAGAACGGGTATGTGACTTAAACTGCCAGGGTGCTTTTTCTTTGTGACGTTTGCTGACATGATTCGCATCTAGGCCTCAAAAGCTACATAGCCTCTGAGGATTTGGACATTGCGACGTCGGCTGGCTTGGTACGTCGAGTTTTCCGCCGGTCCATCGAACTGGGCCGTCGATACGCAAGGTCGAACAACCAAGACGATCTCCATGAAGCTCTTCGACTGCTCGGTACAGGATTGCACTGCCTGGAAGATTATGCCGCGCACTCCAATTACACGGAGCTCAGCTTAATTGAACTCGGTGAAACTGACGTTTTCCCTCACGTTGGCCGTAACGTTATGCTGGAAATTGAAGGCGCACGAGATCCCGTTTACCCAATCGTCACCGGCACCTTTGGTGGTGTTGACTTTTTCCACTCGGTGCTTGGTGAGGTATCTGACAAGGTCACCCAGTCGGAACTCCAGACCTTGGAGGGCGTCATCTCCGATTCTCAGGGCGAAACGCCCTCCCAGAGTCTTCTGAAGGACCTCCTTAGTAAAATCCCCGATGGATTACTTGCAGATAAGGACAGCGATGCAGAGAAAGTGGATGGATTTAAAGCCAAGGCAGATGATGCTAAGCAACACAATGAACAGATCAGTCCCCGCGAGCCCGAGGAATGGACCCAGTTTCTGAACGATGTGCAACGACAAATCTATCCGGTGTTAGAGTGGCACGATGAATTGATCAAGGCAATCAACAAAGCCATCGAGAATATCCCTGTTCTACCCGACCTGATTGAACAGGTCCAAGACCAAATGAACATTTTTGTCTTCTCTGTCCTTGCCCCTTATGTCCTTCCGATCATCACGCAGATCAAAACCGAGCTCCAAACAGGCTCCTCTGAAGTGATTCAAAGCAGCAGAGAGCAGCAGCATATTGTATTCAATGATGATGATTCGTCTAACCCCACACATTCGATGCTTTCAAAAGATCATTTCTCCAACGTTCTCAACGAACCAGCCGGTCGTATAGCTTCCCAGGTCGTCAAGTGGACTGTCCCCCAACTAATGGAATGCTGGGACAACGAAGATATCGACATCAGGCGGACTTTGGATAGAATCGTGACTGGGGTCTTCCACCATCCCGCACAGCGCGAGTTTGGAAGAGATGGGGCAGCGGATATGCATGGTATTATGTTTGGAACTGTGGAAGAATGGTGGAACGAAAAAAGTGATCGCGAGCGAGACTCGCTCCGTGAGCAGCTGTCTCGCCACGGGGTCCTCGAGGGCAGAAACCATAAGGAGGGCGTCCATGACTCCGGGCACGGATGTGGTAAGCCGTTGTCCTTACCCAAGAAACGTGGTGGCTCTGGTAATGCCAGCTCTGGCGGAAACCATTCACCTGTTGATGGTATTGGCAAGGTTGCTGCAGATGCTGCAGGAGGCGGCGCTATTGGGGGTTTGGTCGGCGGACTTGTGGGCGGCATCGGTTCAATGCTCTTGGACAATGATTCGAAGGAAGATGGAGGCTTCGAAACTGGTAGACACGAGCATAGCTCGTCCACCTATGGACATTCCGAGAAGCACTATCATCAGGAACACCGACGTCATAAATCTCGGGAAGATTACCGGTCCGAAAGCCACTCGTCACATGCAAGTAGACATGACTATGGACATGAGCAGAACTCACACCCGAGGAAAGATGATTACCGTCACGAATCTCGGGACGATCGTCCATCGGCCGACAATTGGAGACGGGAAGAATACCGTGAGCGCCAATCCCGGTTTGGGGAAGAGGGTGGTGGAAATGAATATTCACGCTCGGAAACGGAGACATACAAGACCCAACATGGAGGGCATAGTGGATACATTGCATCGCATCACGAGTCCAGTAACAGCCGCCCGTCTTACGGGTATGGTAATGAAGGAAGTGGATATGGAGGATATGAAAGGCGTGGACCGTGAGCAGTTACTCCTTGATACTTTAACTGAAAGACCTGCTGCTAACAGGTTACTGTAGGGAATATTCTTCTGGTTATGGTGGTCGGCAAGAAAGTTATGATGGTCATAGGAGCCATGATGGCTATAACTCCCACGGCGGATACGGCGGTGAATTTCAGGGCAGTCAGGCGGAATATAGTGGACGACACCAGCGCCATGATAATGAGGGATATGGCGGCAGTGGTGAACGACGTCATGAATACGGAGACGGACACAATGGTGGACGCCACCATGGATATGAGCAAAGTTACAGCAGTGGACGAGACTATGACGGTGAGCGACGCCATGAATATGGGCAAGCATATGATTATGGCCGACACGAACAAAGCCACGAGCGCCCCCAGGGGTACGGACACGGCTACGATAATGGGTATGGAGGACGGGGCTATGGTGGAGCTTATGGATATTGACGGCGCTATGATGACAAGGTTTCCTATTGAAAATTCCAATAAAGCTTTTCAAAAGCTGGATAAACCACGCTCGAAGCCGACTTCACCGTTTGAAGTAAGTAGTTTGTACATTTAACATATAGAAATATAAATCACCATTGTTTTACTTCTCCAGGAGACGGCTGCTCGACCCGAACAACTTTATCACAATTCAGCAAACGCAGGGGGTCAAAAGCCAATTTCAACTGTAGTTGATGTCTAACGTTAGCATACAAACTCTGCTGATAATAAAATATGGGCAAATGATGTATAGAGGACTATTCAATAGTCGTGTAGCACTTACTCGTCGCATGGCATCTACTGTAGACTGGCCGACTTCGTGCTCGATGTAGTCCCGTTTAATAAGACCAACCCCATGTTCTCCCGTCACGGTTCCTTCCAACTCCACGGCACGCTTTACCATGCGATGGACAACAGCCTCTGCTGTTTTCCGTTCAATGTCATTGAAGAGAATGATAGCTATTGCATTATCAGCTTTTAAATGTGGTTTTATGCAGCTGGGAATGAGAAGGCTTACCGTGAAAGTTGCCGTCCCCGACATGACCGCAGATTCCTGCTAACAACCCGCTCTCGGTCATGTCCTTCTTAGTTGCTTCGATAATGTTGGGCAATTGACTCATCGGAACGGCCACATCTGTTGTCCAGACATGGTCCTCGGGTCCCCTTCGCATTGCCATTACACTCCAAAGGGCCTCCTTCCGTGCACTCCATAGCTCCTGCATTTCATTGTCACCCCGGGCAAATTCGAATGATCGACCCGAAGTGCCAGACACAATCTTTTGGACTAAACCGATTTGTTCTTTGATGCCAGCAGGCGTTCCGGTAAACTTGAAAAACAGAGTAGGCGCTTCCTTCCATTGCCGGCTCGTTGCCTGGCTGGCATTGATATATTTCATTTGCATATCATCTAGGATTTCAAGACCTGCAACCTGGATACCCTCCTCAACCACACGCGTCACACACTCTGCCGCATTGTGAATAGATGGGAAGCTCGCAACAGCGACATTTTGGCTCTTGGGTTTGACAGCGAGTTTCAAAGTGGCCTCGGTCACAAGTCCCAGAGTACCCTCGCTTCCAATAAAGAGCCTGGTGAGATCATATCCTGCACTCGACTTTCTTGGCCGTTGCTTTGTCTTGATGACTGTGCCATCTGCGAGTACGACTGTCAACGAAAGAACCCACTCCCGCATCGTGCCATATCGGTAGGCATTGGTTCCCGAACACCCTGTTCCAACCATACCCCCGATTAAAGCGCCAGGACCCGGATCTGGTGGGAAGAAAAGGTCATGTTCCGCAAGCTCTTCATTCAACGCCTCCCACCCAACCGCCGGCTGGACTACAACATCAAGATCTCGCTTGTGAAAATCCAGGATTTGATCCATGCGACGGAAATCGATACATACCCCTCCCCTTGTGGGAGCGAAATGACCCTCTAAGCTGGTACCACCAGAATAAGGTGTCACCGGAATAACCCTTTGATGGCAGACCTTCATTATCTGCGAAATTTCCTCGGTGGTTGAAGGATAGAGGATTAAGAAAGGTTTTTCGTCGTCTTTTCTGGAATAGGATGACCAATCCGATCCAGAATGAGCCTCCAGGTCTCCAGCAGTGGTAGATACATTTTCTTGCCCCAGAATTTCAACGAAATCAGCCCAAGCGGCCTGGAGATTGGACTGGGAAATGTTGTGTTGAGGGGGTTCTACGTCCGAAAGAGGCGTCGTAGATGAAGTTGGAAGGCTCGCGGGCTTCACAGATCCGAGGATATAGGCACCGGTGGTAAAGAATACCAACGCTACAGAAACAATCATTAGAACTGAACCATGCGCTTTCTGAGAGGAGGCTTTCTACTAGTGGTCTAGGTGCCGGGAAATTTGCATACCGAACATCATCGCCGCATAGCGGCCACCAGGAGATTGGGATTGGTATTGAGCGAAGCGTTCTTGTTCAGCACGCTCTCGCTTTAATCGTTGTTGTGTGCTCTCATACAGTTGGTTTTTAAATGAGTGGCTTTTGTCATCGGCTTGACGGCGGGCAGACGCCCCAAACAGCCGTTGTTGGTTTGCAAACTGAATGTGAGTCGGCTGAGGCCGAGCGGCACGCAATACGGCTCTTAGGGGAAGAGCACTAGGTCGGACCATCACGGGGAACAAGGGATGACCAGGTCTTCAGTGCGGTGCGTCAAAAACATGAGAATATCGCCTGAAGAACTTCCGGCCGGTTCAAATGCGGAGATGACTATAACTACCTGAAAAGAGGTTAGTGTTCCGGTGGTCTTGGCACTAGTTGTAACAATTCACGTCAATCAACTTCATCTTCTTCTCAAAATGTTATACCGAAGCTAGAATAATAATATAATAAATATAGATATAGATATAAAAAAAAGTAGTGCTAAGGATATATGATTCAAAAGGAATCAGTTCTGTTGGTGGTAGCCCGGTCCATTCCGTACCCCGATTTAACTGACCAAAGTATTACAAGCTCAATCCATATTGAACGTTTGTCATTTGAAAAATTAACTGCATGGCTAGATCAAATACATATGAAAAAGATACGGTCTAATCGTATTGGATGGCAAAGATATTGAGGCACTTCTGAGTATAATCCGGACTCGTAGCCATCTTCGACAATCATGACATCGCAGTGACACCATTCTATACTCATCTTTTTGCCTTCTTGCTCTCAATTCATTATCGTTTCTCTCTTGTTTTTACAATCTCAATGGAATTTGTCTGTTTGTTAGTTTAATATTCTCTGACGCCTGCTAGATAGGTAAAACGTGCCCCAAAGAGAGATCCTTTTCCATTTGTGCAGCCATTATCCCCCAGTCCAAATATCAGATCTCTCCTGTGTTTGCACTACCAATCTATTTCCCTCTGAATCTCATCTATCCCAAGATACAGCACAGGCTGGCATACTAAAGAGCAATTGGTGGATAGTTGCAATTATGAGCACACAAACCACAACTGCGAAAGTAAGGACCAAGACTCATTTCTGTATGGAGAGAATTTAGGCTAACAAAAGGCATTCCATCTATAGAATCTTTCTTTTGTCCTTGAAGGGGTCAGCCAGGTCAAGTTTGAAGATCGACCCATTCCAGAACTCAAGGATCCTCATGATGTTTTAATTAACGTGCGGTATACTGGCATTTGCGGTAGTGACGTTAGCACCAATTTCTCTTATCTAGATGATGAGATTATTGCTGATACTTCTTCAACTCCCTGTTGTTAGGTTCATTATTGGGGGCATGGCTCAATTGGCGATTTCGTCTTGAAGGACCCTATGGTTCTTGGCCACGAATCCTCTGGTGTCATCAGCAAGGTTGGCTCTGAAGTCACAACGCTGAAAGTGGGTGACCGTGTTGCCATGGAACCGGGTATCCCATGCCGCAGATGTGACCCTTGCAAGGCTGGAAAATACAACCTCTGTGTTGACATGGCCTTTGCAGCTACCCCACCGAACGACGGCACGTTGGCTAAATACTACGTGTTGCCAGAAGATTTTTGTTATAAGATTCCCGATGGTATCTCATTACAAGAGGCTGCAGTGGTTGAACCGCTTGCTGTCGCTGTGCACATTGTTAAGCAGGCAGCCGTCAGTCCCGGGCAGTCCGTCGTGGTTTTTGGGGCTGGACCTGTGGGACTTCTGTGTTGTGCAGTTGCTAGAGCTTTCGGGGCTTCTACAGCTATCGCCGTCGATATACAAGCCACAAGGCTAGACTTTGCCAAGGAATATGCTGCGACGGCTGTCTTCCGACCAGCCAAAACATCACATTCGGAGAATGCGACCCGCCTAAAGGAGGAGAACGGCCTTGATTTGGGTGCTGATGTTGCAATCGACGCCTCTGGTGCCGAGCCTGCGGTGCATACGGGTATCCACGTCCTCCGCGCTGGCGGTACCTATGTACAAGGTGGAATGGGCCGAAGTGAAACCTGTCTGCCCGTCATGGTGGCTTGTACCAAAGAGGCGACTATCAAAGGCAGCTTTCGCTATGGCAGCGGAGACTATAGACTTGCGGTTGATCTTGTCGCCTCCGGTAGAGTCAATGTGAAGCAACTAATTACCGGGACAGTCACATTCGAGAATGCCGAACAAGCATTCAAAGAAGTCCACGCTGGTAAGGGCATCAAAACTCTTATTGCGGGTGTCGAAGAATAATAAGATATGTCAAAAAGGATGTAAAACACATGTATTCACTTTATACGACAATAATAGCAAATTCAAAGCATGAAATCTATCAACCTGTGATAATAGTGCTAGTTAAAATGGCGTCAACTGTTGCAGATGGGAGTAACTCGAGGGTATCGTGCTGCAAAATGGAAGAGAGAAAGATAACATGTCACAATTGGGACCCAAAATAAATTGAAAGCAATAATCAACAGCATCCCCTGTTCTTGCTTTGGCGAGAGCCACTCGATCGGAACACATCTTCCCATTCACCCATCCCGCTTCTTAAGTGAGTTCCTCCTCCTCCCCTTCGCCTAGGGTTTCTCCGATGGAGCTGGACTGCGCTGTCATCAAGAGTTATCCTGCTTCGAATACTCGAAGCGTCACTGGTGCCGTGGCCGTATAAGCCACCATCACCATATTGGATGCCACTTTGCGGATCATCGGGATCAATCTCTCCAAGCTCAATCTTGGTGAGGATTATTCGGGCCAACCGGTTGAATATTTGCTCGACGCCCTCACCTGTGAGGGCAGAGACTTCAGTAGCAACGGGGATATTGAACTGAGATGCCCAACGAGAACTTTCCTCGAGGCTGACTTGGCGGCCTTCGGGGGAATTGGTCGCGGTCATTCTTGTCCCAGCCGCTCCTCCAAAATTACTAACGGACCTGAAAGAACCACCACTTGAATCAAGCGGGAACCAAGACTGCTTGCTGGATACACTGGACGGTGTTGGGGGATGCTTCGCGGTAGAATCATCCGGGCCCTGGGTTTGCAGGAAATAATCCGATGCGAGGTCAGACTTGTTCCCTGCAAGTAAGACGGTAAGGTTCGGCGAGGCAAGGGCGCGAGCATCCATCAAGAACGTAGGGAGAGCATTGAAGGAAGCGTGGGATGAGACGTCGTACACGAGGATGGCGCCCGCCGCTCCGCGGTAGTAGGATCTAGAAACGGAGCGAAACCGCTCCGTACCTGCAGTATCCCAGAGTTGTAACTTTATCCGTTTTCGTTGCGAGCCTGTGCCTAGTTTGACGACTCTCGAGGAAAACTCCACCCCGATGGTTTGCGATGACAGCACTCTCCCTACAAGCGCAGCGGTGGGTGATTAGCGAGCTGGCCATCCAGCTCGAGAAGAAACGGGGTCTCTTCGAGATAAAAGAACGGAAAGAAACTCAATCGGGCATTCGAAACCATACATTCATCTTTTACAAATCGGTGCAGTACACAGGATCTATGGGCGATACAGAGAACATACGTGAGCGATAAGAGCAGCAGGCATAAGTTGAACAGCATGAACAAGAGAGTACTCACTTCCCAGCACCACTTGGACCAAGAAGGATAATCTTAGCCAGATAGTCGTACATGCTCTCCAACTCCTAATTTACCTCCGAGGATTAGGATCTCATCTTCTCGCGGCGGTGAACCCGGGAGGAGGTGCCATTCATACCTGGTCTTGGCCTGGGGGTAAGGAAGAAGAGACTGCAGAGGACGCATTCGACATTCCTCTTTGGCGCGTCATGACTTTGGACCCAAAGACACACAAAACAATAGTAGTGGATAGTTTCTTGATCGTTTGTTGGTGGATTAGATATTTGTTATCAGGATGACATGACGCTGCCAAGCCTGACCCAAAATAAATGACATGACACTAATATGGACCAGGTACAAGTATCTCATCTCTTGACCTCACGACAGTCGACAGGTAGCATTTGTTCTCTGTTGAACTTTTAAGAACTCATATTTGGTAACACTGCGTACTGGTATATATATACAGGGGTAACTGAATTGATATTTAGCTTAGACCCATCACCATAAGTTACCATTACAATTAATGATGGTAGTGTGTACTTGGTGAGAGGCAGAAAAGAGGAATTCAATAGGCATACAGGGGCAAGTGCCATACTTATGGTTTAATATTGATGATGTAACCATAGAAATGTGTCATAGCCACACTTGGCAGGAACATTCAAACGGACAACAACCTCCCATCGAGATTAACAACCATTAGAAAAACCCCAAACTTTACAGTATGGTGTCTTGTTTGTCGTTGTTTTCCAGGGGTCGGAGAGCGACCCAAGACGTGATGGGAAGTACGATGAACGCTACGCCTCAAGATTCACTAAAGCCACCGCCCCAACCTTTGAAAGACCATATGCCGGACGATTCAATCAAAAAGGGATTACCGAGCTATCATGATTCTCAGTCCTCATCATCAAAAGCCCTACCTCTTGCTCAAGGGTTTGCTGGTGTACCAGAAACCAACCCACCCCCCTATCATAACTGGCAGGATGCAGTACCTGACACTAGCACGTTCCCACCAGCACCAGTGATAAGTTACTTCAACTCCAACGCTGGAAATGCATTGAGTACCGATGCAGAGCGGGCTCATGCATTTTGCAATAACACCCCCCTTTGGAGACCTGTGAAGCCATCTCCGGCAGTCCTTCAATCTGTCCAGCAACATGACCTTCGTCCTATGCTGTCGACCGAGTTCCGGGGGGAATTGTCACCCATATCTCCTGGTCGATGGAAAGGCTCCACAAGGAATATGAATAAAGACTGCGTTGCCCTGACCCACTTGCCTCTATATTTCCCTGTCGAGGATTCGCCCCTAGTGTCGGGAGGAGCCAAGAAGACGATCTACTTTGAGGTCACATTGTTAAGGCTCGGAGACGGACCTAGGCCAGCCGATTCCAGCGGGTTTTCAATTGGCTTTGTGGCACAGCCATATCCATCTTGGCGGTCTCCTGGATGGGAGAGAGGAAGTCTCGGGGTTTTCTCTGATGACGGATGTCGGTTTGTTAATGACTCATGGGGCGGACGGGATTTCACACATGAGTTCAAAGTGGGTGAGACTGTTGGCTTGGGGATGACGTTCTCCCTCTCAGACATGGTGGTTTCAAGGAATATGGGAAAGAAGCCAATTGTGGACATTTTCTTCACTCGCAATGGCCGCCATGAGGGAGGCTGGAACCTTCATGAACAAGTCGATGCAGATGCTGGGAGCGTTGAAGGCCTGGAGGGTGATTATGATATTTACGGAGCTGTAGGCTTATTTGGAGGCGTTGACTTCGCAGTTTGCTTTAATCCTACAGGATGGCTATGGAAACCTACGTGATATCTACATTCATCTCAGTGATACGGCCAAGTCCATTTCTTTCTTGGTATTTTTTCCCTTCATTGTTTTTCTCCCTCCACTTTCTCGTCGCTTAATTATCTTTGCTTGACAGTGCCTGCATCTAATCAGCTAATCATGTGGTTTCGATGAATAAAATCAAGCCCTAACTTCTGTATTTCTAAATAATGACACATCTGAAGTACACATTTCCCTTCTTGCATCTGCTGCGTTGATTAGCCAACACGACAGTGCCTCATAGTAGTAAACCTCTTCATAATCGTACGAAAATCAGCTTCTGTTACTATTTATATAACATGTCTGTAGGCTAAATCGCCTGGTTCTAGAAAACAACGTCCCGACAGCCGAGTCACGCGTACATCCGAAGACACACGATTCCACCAGGATTCTCGCTGATCTAGACACGAACATTAGTGTCTCGGGGGGAAGCATGCGACGCAGCCCCATCACTAGCTGATCTGTTCCCTGTAGGTATTTATGTCTATTGTTATTGCTCCGAAGTACGTCGGATCCAGGGGGGCAAGCACGTTGATGATGAGTGGTGATCATCCCCCAAGTACATACATATGCAGTGGGCTTACTTGACGTCATGGCATCCTATCATGGGAATTGAGCCGTATTCACTATGCTGCATAGTCCTGCTATGTATAGTACCTCGATGCAAGGTCAACCCAAGTGGGAGATTGGAAGAACACCGAATATAGCATGATTTGATTTTTTTTAAGACAGGGATACTAATCCTATGGTCTAGAATGTAGTATTTGTACGCCAATACGTCAAACTTGCTAATCTCGACGTTTGCTTCTTTCCGATTGATGGTGTCTCACCAGTCTTATATCAAGCTGTAAGCGGCTCAAAGACACGCCCATATTCATCGCCTTCTTTCCTTGTCTTTTTCTATGTCCTATTGCACTTTTCTTTCCGGTTAAAAGGATATATGTATATATAAAAATATATATTTGCATTTACCATGGTTTCATCTTCGAATATTAATTGAGGATTGAGCTTGGAATGAAGTCAAGATATAAAATTACCGGGCAACCAATGGGATGCAACAGAATACCGTTGACATAACCTCTGCGGACTATGGATATGCCTTGGCTATTCATGGAGTGTAGAGTACGGAGTACAGAGAGATTTTGGTTAAGTCAATAACACCTTTCATTTTCCAAGGGCTGCCTCTCAATCCTTAAAATCACAAGTATCTGCTCGTTCATTCGTTATCAATATCATTCGTATCTGTTGATCTCTTAACTTGAACTTCAATATGATGTGCTACTCCGTACTCCGAGAACAATTATTACAATGAATATTATTTATTATCCATTATCATTAGCTTTCTCCACCATTTCTGACGCTGGAAGAGTCGAGACCAGATCGACCGGAGTAAACCAGAATTCATCCGTATGTGCTCGATGTCAGCCAGTAACAAACCCATTGTGCTATTCAGGATCTTCTCCGACTATTTGTGTGATAAGCCTTTATTAGAATTGCTTTTGATATGAACAATACAGCACTCTTTTTGACCCATAGTCATGTTGTTTACTCATATCTCCACGGAGGTCACGGTGGAGACAGACTCGACTTCAAGCGGTATGAGGGGCTGCAGTTGCCAAGCACCACTAAATTCTAGTTACATTATTAGCCCAGCCACACTAAACTTAATAGGGACAAGGGCTGGAGAGCATGGGCCACCAAGCTGTGGACATAAGTGGCAGGAGCTTTCTTTCTTTTTAGGGACTGGCCAATCAGCGGCCTGACAGATTCAATGATGCCAAGGCAGAAAGAATGGGGAAATTATCGTACCGATGATACAGTATTTGTACGAAGGCGTGTGCCGTGTCGCAACCAACCGCTGTCTGTGGTGGTCACGACCGGGATTTGGAATCACGAAGTCTATAATTTTTTGAATATGATGCTGGTTGTTTATCCTTATCTGTCATTGCCATAAGTGATCACATACGATGTATGTATCGGTACAGTAGTGCTGCCTGTGTGCAGAAAAAAAAAAAAAGGTATAAAGTACGCACTCCCTGCTCAGTATGCCTCTGTAGGGCTGTACTACTGCACGTTCCTGATACTCTGCTTTAACATATCACTATCACCCGTTTTAAGCCCCATTTACTATCAAACACGTAGCAAACTAACAAATCCACTTCATACCCGTCACAGTCTGTCAAAAGCACTTCGGGGAACCAACGTACAATGCCGTACAACGAACCGGTCCCCATAATTTTTTCGCACGGTACTGACTGTACAAACAACTCAATTTCAAAGCCCCACAATGTCAACCAAGTAACGAACTCCACCACGGAGGAGAACAAGCAGACTACCGAGAGGGTATGGATACGATAACAGCAGAGCAGCGAATTACGAGCTTATTCCTCTTCTAAGTGCAAAAAAAGTACGATCTGCACGGAGAATTATGGAGTACAAAGAAAGAAGATTTTCAAAACTCTCAACCTCATAGGACTCTGTGAAGGAGGGGGAAGGAGGGGAAAACGACGAAAGATTGAGCGCGTGCTGGGCTCCTGACCTGTATCATTGCAAGAAAAATAACTTTTATCTTGACTGCTGAATGTGCTCATTCTATACTTCAAAATGTGCCCATCCGGTATTATTTTTGATCGCCAAAAGGAACACGGTTTGGCGTTTGGATCGACGACGTACAATGCATGTCATCGAGGACAGCGTATCTCTATTCTCTTAAAGGCTCCATCTTCCGACTTCCCGGCTGATACTACTATGTTGTCGTCCAACAGCATGCTCTGGAGGTAGACACAGAGGAAGAGAGAAGAGGCTCGTATTGACATCCCGCGAAATAAGCCCGTCAAATATGGGGTCAGGTGGACAGTGCGCCGATAAGTGGATCAACTAACCTACCGCGGCCCGGTGAGTTGAAAAGTCCTCCAGCCGCAAAATGATGAAGGATATTGATACCTCTATACAGTATGGAGCAGCAATAGTAATGATACTCATAGTTGCTGCAGCAGCAACAACGATGATAAAATGGAGTACGGGCTATTATATGGTTGCAGATATTCCGTACAGCGTACTTCGTATAGAGTCTTTACTTTGTACGGAAATACTCCGGCTTAGTCGCTCAGTGGAATGATGGGTCCTGGTTCGGTCATTCCCGGATACGGGTGGAGCGTGTCGGGGCGGAGTCCAGTCCTGAGTCCGTGCAGCCGAGATACAGTGTACGCGTCTGTTTCAGAGCGCTACTATGTACTAGGAACGGAGGACTATGCATTGTCTTCTTTTTTAGCTGTTATTTGTTACTTGATAACATGTGTTGACATGATATTGGAACAACCAACCCGGTGACAAGTGGTTGGATCTCGGGTTCTTTCTCGACTATGTAGTACAGGGTACTTATGTGATTACTATCATACATGCATAGATAGGAATGCTCGTGGACAAAAAGGGTATATGGTAGATATTACGAGTAGATACTATATTATCATGGTTTCTATATATGCAAATCACTTTGCACATACCCAGGGGTGTTGACGATATACCGTCTCTCTCCTATCTTACACGGCTCTACTCTATCAAAGCAACCTGCTATATATGGAATACATAGTTACTAGTAGTTATGCACTCGCAATATTATGGCCATTTGCAATAACCCTTTTCGGTAAGGTGCATGGGAACTTTCGCTTCTCATCCCTGATGGAAACGGCGCTGTTCCTCTTTGCATCCATCAGCACGAGCTCTGTTGGCCCTTGCTGGACCTTGGCGCGGCAATGGCCTTATGCGGGTCAACTGTTGTGTCAATCGCCTAATTGCTTTTAATTTCCGTCGTTAAGTAAAGTGTAGGGTACTTTTTTTCTTTTTCGTAAACTTACACGACTGGCCTTTATTGGCGGATAGGGGAAAATATTTTGGTCAATGTGGAAATTATGCCGGTGAACCGGACAGCAAATGGCCCGTGTGAGAGTACCTTATTTCATGAACCTACAGGTTATGGGGTTGGTTCACTCTGGGCATAAAATCAAGTCCGTTATGCACCCGTGCTCTTGACTTTATCCCGAGAACTACGGAGTACAATGTACGGAAATATTACTACTTGTACATACTCTGCACTCAGTTCATGCACATTTCAGAAAACCTACTAAGCAAATATCAAACTGGAAGGAGAATCCCGCACTATGAAAATAGCCGTTTTGCATCATCCGTACGCCGTACTTTGCACTTTACAGCAACCTCGTGCGCTCTCTTGCACGTCTGGGGAATGGTCTCGACTAAATCAATTTGCTGTCAGCCTATTGCAGCGCGGCCTGCATTATCCACTCAAGCTTCATGATCCATCCAGTCTACCATTGTCACTATGCTGTTGGACGATCGCCGCTAGGATCGCCGTTGTGACCGTTTTGTTTTTGTTTTCTTTTTATTTTGTTCCTTCTTGGGCTATCTTCTATATATATCCTAAAGGTCCGGAATCCTGAAACACCACACAATGCCGATATTTAGATAGACAGGCGTCTAGACACTACCCAATATAGAGGTATACGTACAGGGGTACTACTAGTCGGTTAACTGCAGATGGCAGTTCGTTGTTCATTTCGGACGGGGCTATATTTTGGGAAAGATGACACTTCTCCGGACATTAACGGCTGACGATGGATGAATTGATCTCTAGTTCGCAGTGGGTGGTCTTAGCTTAAATTGCGTGCCTTGTCCAGATGGAGTAAGGACAGCCCATTTATTACGCAGCTTCTTGTTGCTTATCCCACTCTCATGCGTACTTTTGTCTTCACTTTCTTTGCATTCTCTAATCCTCGATGAACAGGTTAAACAGGTCATCGCTACTGAGTTCCCCTATTTACTATATTCCGATTCAAAAAAGAATCCAGAACATGTATTAATTTACTCTGTTCTCCGATATTATTTCTATATGGAGTTACTCGGGAGTGAGTCCCGTGCTGCGGCAGTGCCGGATTTGGATAATAGCCGCGAGTCAGAAATCCATACCCTACACACGCAAAAATTTACGTGCCTTATTCAAACCTTATCTACCATGACTTCTGGTTTCAAATTCTTGGCTATCACTTTTATTGCCAGTACTATTTACTGAAGAATGCTGAAAACGTCAGTTCTAAACCTTAGTTCAGCGCATCGGCCGAAATTGACGTCGAGTTTGGACCAACATGAACAAAAAAAAGTCAAAATAAAATCACGAGGTCTAGACATATGATGATACTAACAAGGGGGATGTTGAAGATCATGAGAGTGGAATCGGCCGGGATTTTTTCTTTTTTGCTCTGCATTTCTATTTTAAAAGATTTTCTTACCTGGCCACCTTTTTTAATCGACCCGGGCGATGTCCTCCGTATGCTGCATGTGGCGCCCGAAGGGGAAAAGGTCGGAGTTCCCGTCCGTACGACGACGCACATAGTCCGTTAGCCACCACTACTCTGTACTCTGTACTAACTACAGAAGTCGACCATGATAAAGGAAAGGCAATTATAAATGTATAGCAATTTCACGAGGAGAATAGAGTAAATGTCCGGCAAGTCAGACGGCTATGCTCAATCAATTCTCCACCTGTAACTCTGTAATACCGAGCATATCTCTTCGGTTATGTAGGTAGGAATATGTACATGCTCCGTAGCGTTAAAGTCTCTTGTTCTAATTTAGATTTTTTTTTTTCCAATTTGCCTTCCCCGAGAAAGTAAACTAATGTCACCTCCACTGATAAATTAACCATTAGGATGTCTTGACTCAGTCGGCCCATCGGCATCTGTACAAGTACGGGTGTACGGAGTATTCCGTCTGCATTTTTACTCTACGTAGACTACTCTATATGGTAGCAGTACATTTACGGAGTCGTAAACACATCTGACTCAGCCACTCCGATGGCCATTATAGTATTTTGTTATTGTTTGAAAAAGAACAATAACCGTCACGGGACAAGAGAAAATTATCTCCGTACTCGTACCGTACCAACAGGACCCACCCCCGGCGGCAGACGAGCCTCTCGGAGAGCTCTGAGGTTACAATACGGTACCGTCCACCCCACTCGTGGACCATGTCACTGTACATAGTCTAGCTGCATGGGCCGCCGTCAATCCCTTTCCCCACTGTTCCCACTTATCATCCAAAGTCCATCTAGATCCAGGGTCTCTCCCTCGGGCTTGATGCACGAGGCAAAAATACAGCCATGCATGACACTCAAAATGACAAAAGGAACTGGAGCTCATTATTTTGGTTATTATTTTACCAATGGGCGAAAAAAAAAAAAAAAAAAAAAAAAAAAATGTACAGACCAGCATGTGCCAATTCCCCTGCCGCACCACTTCATCTCCAGCAAATAAAAATCGTCCAATGGATGCGCATCTGTACTGTTGATATTTCAAGTCCCGACTTTGCCTCAACTTAACTGCAATCTCATCCGGATTCTTCTTTTTTTCTTTTCTGTTGCCTTCGGACTGAAGAAGCTCTCTTCCTCTTCGGTCAGACATTCGTTTTAACTTTCGTTTCTCTTCCTTGTTTCTCTCACTTTCCTCGTTCTTCATCCTCCCCTCTTCCTCTCCTCCCTTCATCTGCCTTCTACTCTCTTTCAATCTTCTACTATCGAAGATCATTTCAATCACCTCTGCTTTGAAACACATTACTGTCGTCATTGGACCAGAAAAAGATTGGCAAGATCAAGAATTGAGAAAATAACAGATCTATTGGTTGAGACGGGGAAAGCTCCGGGATCTTCTCTCGAAACCATGGCATTCCCATTTATGCGAGCTTTTCTCGCTGTATTGTAAGTAGTTTAAATACTATCTTGCCCGAGAAAAATAACGGAAAGCGAAAAAAAAATAAAAAATAAAAATAAAAAAAAAATAAAAAAAATAAAAAGAGGAAAAGAAATTAAGGAAAAAGAAAAAGAAACTGACCAAGAGGTCCGCAGTCTCTATCGCTATCTACGTTTGATGGTCAACCTGTTTTCCTTCTGGACTTTCAAACCGATTCCTCCTCCCGAAACTCCGAAATTGACTGCCCAGGATGTCACGGTAATCATACCGACGCTGGAAGGTTGTGGCGATGAATTGGTCGAGACCATCAGAACCATCCTTGATAACCGGCCGTACGAACTTCTACTGGTCACCATCGAAGCCAATCGAAAGAAAGCCGAAAACATGCTCAGTTCGATGCCTGCCTCCAAGTCGAGAATCCGTCTCTTTACCGTCACTCATCCCAACAAGCGCCGCCAAATGACTCGTGCTATCCCAGAAGTCCGGACGGCCATCACCATGTTCGCCGATGATGACGTGAGTTGGCCGCGCACTGTTATGCCTTGGATCTTGGCCCCATTCGAAAAGGATGAGCGGTACGGTGGTGTGGTCACCTGCCAACGTTTGCGCCGTGCGACTTCCCCAACATTCTCACAGCGCATCTACAACTTCCTCGGGGCTCTGTACTTGGAGCGACGGAACTTTGATTGTGCATCTACGACACATATCGATGGTGGCCTTCCTTGCATGTCCGGACGCAGCGTTGCCTATCGGACCAAGATCCTTCAAGATGAAGTGTTCACTTACGCTTTCACCAACGAGGAATGGTGGTTTGGCAAATACCAATTGAATGCGGACGACGACAACTTCATCACTCGTTGGATGGTTTCTCACGGCTGGGAAACGTTCATGCAGTACCATCCCGAGGCCGAAGTCCAGACTACCCTCGAAGATAACCCCAAATTCCTGAAGCAGTGTGCACGATGGTCGCGAAGCAACTGGCGCAGTAACCTGACCAGCATGTTTCATGAAAAGCACATTTGGTAGTAAGTATTTTGCTGTCTCTCTTTTTCTTTTTCTTTTTCTTTTTCTCGGATTTCCGCCGAAAAAAAAAAAAAATCCGAGTGATCCCTGCACTGGTTGTGGAAATTATTTCCACTTTTTTGTCCCCTCCATTTTTGCCGTCCAGTGGATGAACACGAACGCGTCTTATGAATCGGTGAAACGGTGAACGAACTGCCCCAAGGAATTCGTGATCAAGACCGAATCATCGTGCAGTAAGTTGACGCGGGCGTGCTTCCCATTTCTGATGAGGCACATAATCTAAAGCAACCAAAGCACGCATCTTCATTCAAGCCACAACGCTAACGTGTCTGTGCCACCAGCCGTCAGCCTTGGAGCGCTTACGCCGTCCATTTGACAACCCTGTCGCCTCCCGCTCTTATCAGCGACTTGTTGCTCCTTTTACTCTGCCACAAAGCCTTCGTGTCATGGGGCGAGGAATGGCATACCTTGGCAATGAAAGCCTTGGGACTGTGGATGTTTGTCAGCAAATTCATTAAACTTGTCGGTCATTACATTCGTTATCCAGTCGATGTTTTGCTACTGCCCGTATCCATCCTGTTCGGTTATCTCCACGGAATTATCAAAATATACGCGGTGCTAACTCTCAATGTGGTAAGTTCCAAAATATCAAAATACACGGCCCTCCCTTCCCACCCTCCATATTTCTCTTGCAGCGCCCTGAGTTTTTGGGGCGCTGGGTGATGAGTTCTAGCCTTGGTGGTTTACAATCTTGTCCATTCATGTCGCACTCCCGTGCTCAACCCCTCTCGCAATACACTATAATGCATGATCCTACCGCATGGTTCAACCAATGGACTTGCTCCTGCCTAACAAAGAGTCCATCTCCAACTTTGATAATTATGCATGGCTAACTCTTGGATCAACTACAGACCGCATGGGGTAGCAGAGATGGAGCCGACGATTATGACGCAGAACGTATGAAGAAGCGTACGAGTATCGACCGCATGAAGCAGCGACCTTACTACCCCAACTTCGTCACTCAATAAATGGCTTCCGTATGATCGACGAATGATTAGCCGGCCGCCCATCCTCCTCCTTTGCCGAACCGACGACATTAACATCTGTTGGTACGCTGCCTTCCAGTTATCAAATATCTTACTCGAACCGAATCGAGTCAATCTAGAGCGAGACAACGCAAGAAATCGTGTTGCTGGCACCGTATCAAGCCACCGTGTGACCGCTGGCCATTGATCTCCATACATGCTTACGACGAAATGCCTTGATGATGCCCTAATCTGGAAAGATGACCAATATGAACCCCCGGATAGGATTCCAGACGTCATGAAACGTTTGGCATCCACATACTTATCTTCCCCCAATTTTCTCTTCTCGTTTTCTTTTTTAATCGAGTTGGTTTCGCAAATGGGGTTCTGCGATATACCATTTCAGTTCTTCTACGCATTGCTCCGTCACTTTAATACCCAGACTTCCTGTCTCGTTTTCTGTTCCCCTTTCTTCTTTTTCCTTACACCTTTTTTGAGCATTGTGTTTTCTACTTTCTCTCCCCTGCCTTGTTTTGATCCGTTCGTTCCGTCATGAGGGTTGACGGTGTCAGACCACTAATAACTTGGTGCTCATTCGACCAGGCCAGAAAGACAAGAGGAGGGAAAAAAGGAAAAATACGGCGGGACCTCAATTATGTGAGGCTAATCTGTAAATTACAGAGGCGTGGGCAGGTTCGCCCCGTCGCTTGGATACCACTAATACCTTTTGAACAGGGATTGATCTGTTTTCATATTAGACTGAAAGATTATGGGCGGCTTTCTGTTTTGATTCAAGTTCTGTTCTATTGTTTGCTCTCATGTCAACTATGGCATAATAGCTAATGTATCCTGCTCCTATGATTTAAAATATATATCATAAAAAAATACATTTCAGCCTTGATTCAATTGTTATATGCTCACTCACGTCAAAGGGATCGTCAGCGTAGTGACAAAGCAATATTCGCAACCATCAGAGTTTCTGCAATATGGCGTAACTATAATGAAATCAGGTTGCTGATGTACACTTTTCATATGTGTTATGAGGCATGGGGAATAATGATAATGGCATGGATCAGACATTGAATTGCGGAGAATGTGGCGCTTGTGGCAATCTGGGCCCGCTAATGTTTTTTCGTCGGCAACTCGACGGTTCATTCGGACAAGCTCTCTTTCAGCTACAGCATAGTTTCCACCTGATACTTTTGTCTTACCTTTACCATTTCATTTGCCAACCCTTGTATTTCACTGCCAAGAGGATTCACCCTTCGATTGCGCGAAACGGCGATGACGATACTCACTCGCGCCACCGCGACTCTTTCGTCGCAGTTGTTTTCCACTGCTGTTCAACGTAATGCATCAACAGCTCGCTTTTTTCATTCTTCCCCGCTGAGGACAGCTGTTGCCCATCCTATTACAGCTCATGGGCCTCCCCCAAAAGCTCCTGCACCGGCGGCAGAATTTGGGGAGCAGCAACAGCAACAGCAACAAGCAGCAGAGGAAGAAGCGAAAGTTGCCGAAATTGAAAAAGAGACACCAGCGCGACCACCGAAACCTTCTGCTCTCAGGAAACGGTTTTGGAAAAATGTCGATGTTAAAAAGAAGCCGGGTATGTTATATGAAAGAAAGGAAGCGGGGCGGCTGATCTGAAGCTGACCATGCTATGCGGTTCCAGAGGAATATCAAGTTTTGCTTGATACCAGACCTATCCGGACGCCGACCAAGGATATTCTCTCAATCCCGCCAACTAAGCCTCATCTGGCACACGCAATTGCTCTGGAGTGGGATGTAATGACTTCAGCCCAACAAGCCCTGAAGCACCATATGATCCCGTTGACTTCGTTGACTGCACGGGGAGCGGACATTGCTCGGGAAGATGCGCAAGGCCAGACAACCACCAGGGAACAAATTGTGAGAACTACCATGCGATATCTAGACACCGATACATTGCTTTGCTGGGTGCCGGAAAAAAACCCGTACTCGCCACCAGAGGTGGATGAGCAGGGCGAGAAGAAGGAGAGTCTCCGTGATGTCCAGGAACGAGTGGCCAAGGACGTTATTGCGTATCTGAGCACCAAGGTCTGGCCAGGGATTGAAATCAAACCCATCCTGGATGAGAGCAGCATCATCCCGGCTTCTCAACCGCAAGCCACGAAAGACATTATAAAAACATGGATCTACAACCTTCAGGCTTATGATCTGGCCGGCTTCGAGCGAGGAGTACTCGGTTCAAAGAGTTTACTCATCGCCGCAAGATTGGTGGCTGAATGGAGCGAGAACTTCCGCCACGCACAGAACGTGGAGCAAAAAAGGTTTGGTATCGAGGAGGCCGCTGAAGCATCGACCTTGGAAGTTAGGTGGCAGACTGACATGTGGGGTGAGGTAGAAGATACCCACGATGTTGACAAGGAGGACGTTAAGAGGCAGTTGGGCAGTGTGATTGTCTTGGTCAGTGGAGAGACTCGATAAATATCACGGGATTGAAACGTTTGTGTAGACTTGTATTCTAGATTAGATACCTTTCCTGATGAGGACTGTAAATATATGCATTGTGTGTAATAGATTTTTAAGATTGACGCATACGACAAAATAAAAACGAATCACTTCTTGAGCTCCAAACGACCACCAAACGCCGTATATTGCAGTAGATATTCTACGAAATATACGGAGAAATCGTATTATATAGTGGTAGTACAGTGCAGCGATCCTATGATTCCATAGAAACTTGCCAAGGCGGGACCATGTGAAGACGGAGATCGCAACAGACCCCTTCGAGATTAGGGGGGACCTCTCCTCGCCACTTGCAGCTCTGAGAATTATCCCTTGAAAAGGAACCATTTCTATTCATCCCGCTGTTGTTTCGAGCTGCTAGTTATTAAACCTCACTCCCTTCTGCCCGTATATGTACCAGAGACCTATTGGCGCCAAGTGGCGAGTGTGAGATATGACGGAAACAGACGAAGGGTAGGTCATTTCTCTGGGACACGTCTCCAGTTCCATGGATCGTGATGGCAAGCCGTGTCATCGTCTGGGTGATTTCAACGATATATATGGCTGCAGATGGTAGTTGAGAAACGAAACCATTACTCTCAAGGAACCATTGAACCCGTCCAGATGACCACTCAATGACCTTCCGCTATGCCGTCGCCATAGATCTTTGATGGAATATAGCCTACAAATCACTGGAATCAGGCGAAAGACCGCTGCTAACAATGCCCCTACCTCTTAGACACAAGCGCTCCCGGAGTTCGCTCGCCCTTTCCATCTTGCATCGGGACAAGTCGCGAAGCGAAGAGATTCCCGAAGAGGTCGCCAACCGCGATAGAGGCTCGCTCGAATCCACCAACTCCCCTTCCACCGTGAATAACGATGGCTTCTTGAGTTCCCCCATAACCATGTCGCGAAGCAACGGCCGCCGAATGTCTCGCCAGGAGACAACTACTTCCCCGCCGACTTCCGCCGATGGCTCCCTGGGCCCCGCTGCCTCCAGCCAGAATGATGGAGATACATTTGAGAAGTTGCCTTCGATCCCGCAGGGCGCTGAGGGCGGAAGCGTGTCTCTTGAACAATCTGTGAGGACATTCCGGTTATTTGAGATTCTGCGGAGCGGGGATACAACGGCTATTTACAAGGCAATCAAGGAAGCCAAAGATCACCAGGGTGCAGGCACTCTTTCTGGGACCACCGTTCTTCACTTGGCTATTCAATGCGCCGAGCCGCAAGTGGTTGAATACGTTCTGTCTGCAGGCGATGACGTTGATATCAATGCGCGAGATCGTGATGGCAATACGGCGCTTCACCTTGCTGCGCAGCTTGGTAGAGGTCCGCTGGTGCGAGAATTGTTAAATCGACCAGCTGTCAATGACTCGTTGGTTAACTACCGTGGCCAAACTGCTCTCGATCTCGCCCGGACTCCAGAGATTTTCCAGCAGCTGCAGTTGGCACGGTCCTTGTTCATTGACAGCAAAACTCAAGAGATCCAATCCATAATTACTCAGGAGCAACCTGAAAAATTGGAAAAGCTTCTAGAAGAGCCCCGAGTAGAAGGGACCATTGATGTGAATAGCTTGGAGCTCGTTACGGATCCCATTACAGCGCAGTCCGGAGGGACTCTGCTGCACGAGGGAGCGAGGAAGAAGGACACGAAGCTTATCCAGATCCTCTTAATGCATGGAGCCGATCCCTTTCGCCGTGATAAGAAAGGCAAGTTGCCGCAGGATGTCACCAAGGACGACCGGACGAAAGCCATTCTAAAGAAATCACCGGCTGCCGCCATTGCGCAGCGTGGTATCCAGGAGAAAGCCATTCTGGGAAACAATACCGCACAGGCTCTCGCCGGCCGGTCATCCATTGGTGAGCCTCCTTTGGCAGGCAAGGACTCGCGCGAAATGAGAGGGTACTTGAAGAAGTGGACGAACTATACTACCGGCTATAAGCTACGGTGGTTTGTCCTTGAGGACGGAGTGTTGAGTTACTACAAGCACCAAGATGATGCTGGCTCTGCTTGTCGTGGTGCGATCAACATGAAAATCGCGAGGTTGAATATGGACCCTCAGGATAAGACACGGTTTGAAATCCATGGCAAATCGTCCGTTAAATACCACCTCAAAGCGAATCACGTCGTGGAAGCGAAGCGCTGGTTTTGGACCTTGAACAATGCCATCCAGTGGGCCAAGGACGAAGCTAAAGAGGAAGAAAGACGCCAAAACCAGGATGCCGAGGCACTTCGTCAAGCGAAACTCGATCAGTCCGAGGGACGACAGCTCGATTCCTCAGGTGAAACGAAGGGCTTGGCTCCTCCGTCGCTAGAGGTGCCGAACAGCAGCGGCTCAAAGCTCAGCAAATACACATCCCGTACTACTGCGGAAAGCGGACCTGGAGACGAGGAAGGGTCCATATACGACCCCTTTGAGCAAGGCGGTCCACAGAGTGATGTGAATCGGGCAACCAGTCATGGGCCTGATGGGGAAGAAGATGATTACGGTGACTATGTGTCCAGTCGCGAGGTTCCTGCTAGCGACAAAGATGCTTTGAATATCACCGCACAATCCGCAAAGGTTCAACTTGAATTGCTTGCAAATGTTGCATCCTCCTTACAAACCGAAAAGTCGAACAATCCAGACATGACCATCTCGGATCCGGCAGTCGAACAAGCCTTGGCTGCCTATGATACTGCTGTGAGCAGTCTTAAGAGTTTGGTTCAGAACCTACTTAAGATATCCCGCGATCGTGATTCGTATTGGCGCTTTCGATTGGGTCGGGAGGCGCATCTTCGCAACATGTGGGAGGAGAGTATGGCTCGAGTCGCGCTTGAACATGAAGACCTTCAGTCGAAGATGGGCGAATCCGAGGAGAAACGACGCCGGACTAAGAAAGCGCTCAAGGAAGCGCTGGAGGGTGCGTCTGCCAGTAACACTCGCCTCGCCGCGGGTGTTTCGCCTCAGGTGCAAGTCACCAGTGAGGATGAGACTTTTGCCGATTCTGGTGACCAGCAAGTTAAAGTCGAGGAAAACGCGGAAGAGCTTCCGGGCCATATGGAGGAGAATACCAAGAAGGGAGGGCACACCCGGGTATGCAGTCTTTACGAGCCTGATTCTGACGAGGAAGACGAATTCTTCGATGCCCTTGACGCGGGCGAGATTGAAGCAGAGGATTTGACCAAAGCTGAGAAGAAGGAAAAAGAACAGCCTAGCAACGCAAACGGTGAACTTCGGGCCGTGAAATACAAGCAAGTCCAACCTTCATTCAAGGGATATGAAGAACCCATTCGGGAGAGACTCAAGTTGGATTACGATAACAGACCAAGGATCTCTTTATGGGTAAGCTACCCCCCAAGGGCAAAATATAAGCAGAAAATCTGATGTTCTTTTTTAGGGAATCTTGAAATCTATGATTGGCAAGGACATGACAAAAATGACGCTCCCTGTGTCTTTCAACGAGCCAACTTCCTTGCTTCAGCGTGTGGCCGAGGATCTGGAATACGCGGACCTTCTTGACATCGCATCTGATCGATCTGATTCCATGGAACGTATGGTATATGTTGCTGCATATGCGGCAAGTGAGTACGCTTCCACCATCGGTCGTGTCGCCAAACCATTCAATCCGCTCTTGGGTGAAACATTCGAGTACGTGAGGCCAGATAAAGGTTATCGTTTTTTCGTGGAACAAGTCAGCCACCATCCTCCGATTGGGGCTGCTTGGGCTGAGTCGGCCAAGTGGGATTACTACGTAAGTAGTGGTGTCCCGAAATCATTTCGTTTTCTTTCGACTCAAGACTGACGTTAATTTTCTGCACAGGGTGAATCGGCTCTTAAGTCGAAATTCTACGGAAAATCTTTTGACATCAACCTCTTGGGTACATGGTTCTTGAAGTTGCGACCCGTCTCCGGGGGAGAGGAACTCTACACATGGAAGAAGGTTACTTCTTCCGTTGTTGGTATCATCACTGGGAATCCCACAGTGGATAACTATGGATTAATGGAGATCAAGAACTGGAACACCGGGGAGGTCTGTTACTTGGACTTCAAGCCCAGAGGTTGGAAAGCTGCATCCGCGTACCAGGTGACGGGCAAGGTCGTTGATTCGAGCGGGTCCCCCAAGTGGAGTGTCGGTGGCCGGTGGAATGACAAGATCTATGCTCGTCACACTCCCGGTTTTGAGGCCCAAGTGTCTGCTCAAGACCCAGAATCGGCCAAGACGCTCTTGGTTTGGCAATCTCATGAACGTCCCACGGGCATCCCATTCAACGTGACCCCCTTCGTTATAACGTTGAACGCGCTACCTGAAAACTTGAAGAACTATCTTCCTCCCACAGACACTCGCCTTCGGCCGGATCAGCGTGCTATGGAAGAAGGTGAGTATGATCTTGCTGCGGAGGAGAAGCACCGGGTCGAGGAGAAACAACGCGCGGCTCGAAGAGAGCGGGAGGCTAATGGAGTGGAGTATCACCCCAAGTGGTTCACCAGAGCACAGTGCCCTGTGACTGGTGAAGAGTACTGGGCACACAATGGGAAATATTGGGAGTCCAGGGAAGCGCAGGACTGGAGTGCCAGTGAGGATATATTTTAAAAATACTATACAAAGTACATAACAAAACAACAAGGAACGAGGATTTCGTCTTGACTTTAGTCGTGTGCCTGCGGGTACGACCAAGGTATCTTGCTGTATATATACATTGCTTTTGGAATATGCACTGGTTTCATCAATCAGTAGATTCGTCACGTGATATACCGCTACCAAAATAATCGCCGATCCCCGGCAGCAGTCTGTCATTGTCCATCACTCGCCCAAAAACTCATGATGACTGGCGAGTATACCTGTGGACGCTGTCTCCAGGTACTCCGTCGAGGGGTCAGAACCCATGGCCCTATCGTTCGGCCGCAGAGCTGGACCAATTCGAGGCGGGGTTGCAACAACGCTCCCGCATTCTCTGCTCGAAGCTTTAGCTCACACTCACGGAGCAACAACGGCAATGAGCGCGGTATACCAACAGGCACGCAGGAACCGCTCAAGCGAGTAGCACCATCGCAGTCGCAACCAATTACGCCCGCCAGCCAATCCCTCGTAAAAAAGGCTGCCGCCTCTACAGCGTCAGGGAAAGCAGGGACCCGGGAACTGCTGAGGCCCAATAACCTCTTCCATCCCTTCTCCAGGTCGCCGTCACGGGCCATTCGACAGCGTGCGGAATTCATCAAACAGAATGCTTTCTGCCCTCACCCGAGCCACCAACAGACCCGGCTGCCCGTGTCGCCGCACGACCCGGAATCACGCAAGAGCACCCAGCATGCCAGTCTCCCGCCTGCCCATTCGCATTTCGAATGCCCCGACTGTGGTGTGCCAATCTACTGTACAGAGGGACACTGGATGGATGACTTCGAGGCACATCTGGAAATTTGCGAAACCATCCGCCAGATCAACGAGGATGACCATGACCTACACTCTGGGCGGATTTTCCCCGAATTCTCGTACCCGGGTGTGCAGGATGACACCTATGTCATCAACATGACAAATTGGGATACGTTTCTTTACACGCGCGAGTTCGAGGCGATCAACGACGACCGTAGCCTGCGCCAGGTTACTCGGATGTTGACATATCCGATGACAATTGGAAGTGTTCTACACGAATTGAGCCCCTACAGCGTCCGGAAGAATGATAGGCTTACCGTTGAGGGTCTTAAGAGCTTGAGCGGTGAGTTCATTTTCTCTGAATTGAAAAAGAATCAATAGACTAATGCCTTGCTTTAGCTCTACGATACAGTTTACACCCTCCTAAGACCGGAGAGGGAACCGACATTCAGGGACTGCGTCTTAAAGCGCCTCCAGTTCGAATCTTCATCCTCGGAGCTCGTGCCGAATCTTCCCTACCCCGCGATGTCTGGCTTCAGCTCAGTTACATTTTCCCCCGTACCCTGTTCCACTTGGTCTTCATTGGACCTGAAAGCATGGCCAATCGGGACGAAGAATTCCCGCTCCCGGAGCGGACGCCTGAGAATCCCTTCGGGGGCATCGTGGAAGACCGACTGGGTGGACAGATGAAGATCACCACCTACGTTGACTACTTCCATACAATGTACAAAGCCAACTACTTCCAGCCGTTCGACCCTTACTTGGACCTTGTGGTTCTCTTCCACCCCGGTCTGGGCCACCCAGCCAGCTCTTTCGAATGGGAGGAGACTCTCCCGCAGTTGCTGGAGACAAAGGTCCCGATCATCAGCACGGGATACACGCAGTGGGACATGGAGCGTGACATCAACTGGGTTCGCGAGAAGTGCGAGGGTGAAGTTGATATCTTGCTGGAACCGGGCGAGAATATCTTCCGTAGTCTGCGGTGGGATCTGAACGACTTGGACCCTCATGACGTTTCCTGTGGGAACTGGGGCTTGTGGGCGTTCAGAGGAAAAAGGTACGTTATTTCTTCTCTCCACTATTAAGATAGAATATGAATTAACTATCCGATTTTACAGATACGAGGCGACATTGAAAGACTGATTGATGGGGTGTGAATTTATCCTTCATATCGGGGATTGTTTATGTTTATTGTAAATTGTACCATATACACTTTTATAACTTGTTAAACTGGGCAAAAGCAATGGAATGGAGTAACCTATCTTCTCTTATCTATATTTACCACAGTATCAGTCACGTGCCGGTCATATCTACAGCATACACTTGTCTATAAATAGGAAAATAGTGCCAAAAGGTTAGAAGGTACGTGCAAAAATTATCAATTACCAGGAAAGGCAAGAAAGGCAAGATATCAACCGTAGAAGACATAAAAGGGGCATGGCATGCAATGCACACAAAAGGTGCAAAAAAAAAAAGACAGCCGCAGTTTCGTCAAGAAAGATCCAGAATGGCCCTACACTCATTCATTACTTCGGAGGACATGTGAGAAGAAGTGGTGTAAAAAAGAAGGAAAACTTGTTAAAATGGTGATGTAAAAAAGGGTTTTCACAGGGTATAAGGAGAAGAGAAATAGAAATAGATCAAATAAGCGGTAAAAAAAAAAAGGAAAATTCAAGAAGAGAAAGCGGACATTTCATCTACCTCATAGCTGACAATGTTATGTGTCGAGGTAATGAAGTCATATGTGGGCTAGATGAGCAAGTGGATATAAAATCTCCGGGTTTGTGCAGGAGCTTGCTTTGATGGACGAGGATACTTGTATCGCCACTCATCTCATCTAATATTATAGCAAGCCCAGAAATTCTCCTTTTAGGGCCTTTGTCAACTAGAACATGACCAGGCCCGCGACAGCCACAACACCGGCCGCCATAGCACCAGAGTACTGAACAGGGGAAGCACCACCCGTAGCAATCGCAGGCGTCGAAGTCGTAGCGCTGGCAGTGGGCTTGGAAGCCTTGATCAGGGCTGAGGTGGAGCTAGCCTTGGCGAAGGAAGACGAGCTAGGCGTGTGCGAGATCAACCACGAGCTGCTGCTCGACGCAGAAGTCGAAGACGGCGCCGGGCTCGACGAGGGTGTCGCAGTCGTGGAGGGAGAAGCTAGGACGACCTGGACGGTGGTGGTGGAGGTAGGCGCAGCGGCATCGGCTTGCTCAGCAGCGAGCGCGACAGGCGCGAAGAGGGCAGCGGATGCGACCAGAAGAGCCTTGGTGAAATGCATCTTGAATTCTTGAGATTTTCTTTGATAAAATTGAATATGTATTGAAGATCAGGTTGATCAGATGTGTAATCTTGGCTGGTTTGCGTCCGGCGTTTGTTTGGTATTGTTGATATTGGATTGTCGCGACAGCGATTTGTATGTATGATAAGTAGAAGTAGTGTTGTATGTATTGATTTTTGTATTATTGTTGTTCTTCTAAATTGCGATCGAGTCAATCAACCGACTTGAGATATAGCGAGCGAATGGAGCTGGAAACGAGTGACAGCTCTTGTGAAGAGTGAATAAAACGAATGACACTGCTTAGCAGGAAGGAAAGAAAGAAAGAAAGAAGAAGCGACAACGTGGGAGGAAGTCGGTTGGTAATTAAACTAGAAAGAACCTTTTTGTTTGTTTGTGCATGAAAGGAAAAAGAAAATAAAGGGGCAGAGAGCATTATCACATCGAATACAAACTACTATTCGTTAGTCAGAGGCTGCTAGTAGCATTTTTTAAAATTAAATTAATATAACTTCAGCCATGGTTACTGGCGTGTGTCTGTCGTTGGTCTTCCGTAGGGAGCAATCCATCTCCGAGCCTATTGGCTTTTGGAGCTTTTGGGCGCTGGACAGCCCAGTCTAGGGTCTCTAAAGGTTTTATTGCACCTGTCGATCGCTATGCCTGTGTCAAGACCGCTTGCTTAGCGCAATCCTGCAGTAACCACCGCTATTCCGACAGAATTGCAGAGTTGCTGTGGTGGTGTTCCTGGCTAAGAGAACGTGTTCCGTGGGTGCCCCGGGAGGGCCCGTTGAGGATCCCTGAGTTCGGTTCACTGACCTGTTGCCAGATATAGTTGTCCTATTGAGTATTGTTAGCGTTGTATATGAAAATAGTGAGAACAAGATTGTGCACCTGCATGAGCACGGAGTCCAGTGGTAGTACTTGCAAGGAGTAGGACCAACTACTCTGTATCGTATCCAGTGGGGTTTTAACTTAATCACATGTTGGTTCGACGCACTCAACGTCTTTTATTGCATAATCAGCAGAGACATGGTTCCGACAGGGAGAGTTGATTGTGGGAGAAATACTCCGTACTCCGTACGGAGAGAAGGAGCCGAGGAGGTGGAGGCGGAGAGAGCCAGAACCACCGGGGCTACAAGCGAAAAGACATATATTGAAGTTAATCCTCACCATCCACAATAATTTGTATCTTCAGGTCAAAATGCATATGAGAAAGCCAATTTTATCGTATTACTGACGTATATTGCGTATTAAATGTCATAACAATCTATAAAAGTGAGAAGTTAAGAACCATGCCAAGCGAACGTAATCCTCCAACGCCGGATCCAGGGGCATCTGGGGGTCAAACTGCACTAAAAGCAATGAAAAAACCACCATCCCTCATTTATCCGTGACATGTCTATGGTGTGTATGCGCTTTGAAATAAACCAATTCTCGCAGGGAACAGAATCACAGAACATAAACGGCACTCAGCGCGATAGCAGCCATAGCCAAGTACCCGCTGGTCTGCGCCATCTGGACAGTCGCTGGTGCCGCATTTTCCGCAGCGGTTGTTCCATTCGGCAGAGATCCATTGACATAGATCTTTTGCGTTCCGTTGACATCGACAACGCGAACGTTGGTGCCATTCTTTGGTTCCGTACCGTTGAAGAGGCTCTCATAGAAGGTGCTGTTGTTGTTGTCGTCGCAGCCACATTCCATGTACTGCTCACAGACACAAACGACAGGCAATGACTCTTCCTTATGCGAGTGCGAGTCTGTGTAATGGTAGTCGTGCTCGTAGGGATAAGCGTATGCTCCGTAGGCCAAAGCACCTCCCGCGAGACCCAGACCAGCTGCGGGCAAGAGGTACGGTGTCAAACCCCCGGGGGACCGAGAACCCGCAGAGTAGGGCGTCCTGGAACCTCCAGAGTAGTATGATCCGCCGCCATACGAGGGAGCTCGTCCAGAACCACCGTTGCTGGTACCTCCTCGATTGCTGCTTGAGCTGGAAAGAAAAATAGTCAGTTTAAAGTCCATACCAAGAGAGATCACTGTTAACTCACCTGGTCGAACCTCCGCTGCTTCCTCCACTGCTACCACTACGACCATTGCTGCCACCGCGGCTGCCACCGCTACCACTGCGTCCTCCACTACCGCCGCCACTGCCACCGCTAGAACCTCCTCCTCGACCACCTCCACCTCGACGCTTCTCCAGGGCCCGCCACACCGAGAAGTTAGGGACAGGCGTGATGGTGAGGTCAACAAGGTCCGTTGAGTGCTGTTTCGGAATGACAGCCGAGTTAGCAACCGAGGAGAGGAACAGCAGGGTAGAAGCTCCAATAGAAAACTTCATTCTGCCGGTTGTCAGGAATGTGTTTGTGCTTATTCAGATATCCAAGAAAAGCAGTGAGAGCATCAAGGGAAGTATATAGCGAAAAATAAGTGAAGGAAGAGTGTATGGGAGGAAGAAGAAGGAAAAGAAAAGAAAAGAAAGAAGATATAGTAGGAGCTATGAGACAGCAGAGACTGATTGTCGATGATGTCGATTGCAGGCTATTATCGGAACCAAAGAAAAAGGCAAATGCGACGGGAGACTGAACGCTTGTTAACCACAGATTGCAGTTAAAGTTTGCTGTTTCCTTGAATGTGTTTTTAAGAGATTAAAGAATAATGCCTGCCGGAGAAAGAACATTTCAAAGCGCAGCAAATTGGTGGCACGTTGCTCGGATAAAAGACCCTGAATGGCGCAGATCATTAATTTTTATGTTAAGCCACGATAATAATGATTACCTCACTGCCACTAACACTGTTACTCTGATTGTTATCATTCTGAACACCATTTGCCTACTTGGGATTTGAAAGTAAACCTCATGCTTGCTCTCATGCATCCAGCGCCAATCATTACTGTATATATACATAACAATATATTTATGACAGATATATGACAGGGATGTATCGCCTTCATATGTACTTCAAAAACGTGATAATAACCAACTTATATATGTCCAGGACATAGCAAACATTCCAACCACTGTTCTCAAACAGGTTACACCTTTTTTAATGGATGGTACACGGGTTCCCACATCTGCACCTGAATCCATTCCTCCAAGTCATTCGGATCGGTCGGAATGTCTTTCTCTTCTGCATGCCCTTCCTCCACTGCGGTTTGGATGACGGCTTTGGCGATGTCGACACTAACTGACCGCGCTTCCTCGACGTCGGGCAACAAAGGTCGTTTAGCATCCTTCAGTGCCGGCGATCGAGCTGCCAACGCACTAACTGCTGCGACTAACATTCGGTCAGAGAGCACCCGAGCACGGGACAATACGACACCAAGACCAATCCCAGGAAAGCAGGTAGAGTTGTTGCATTCCGCTAAAAAGAGAAAGAAAGTTAGGAACACAATTGGTTAATTAAACAGGTAGAATTCGCTCACCGATCTCATACTTGCCCTCGTCGCGGTCCACTGGTGGAAAGGGGCTCCCGGTGGCCATCAAGGCACGACCGTCTGTCCATTTGTTAATATCGTGGGGGTCAGCTTCGTGTAGACGGGTCGGGTTGCTCAATGGCAATATAATTGGGCGTTCGACGTTTTTCGCCATTTCACGGATCGCTTCCTCTGTGAAACTCTTGGGCTTCGTTGATGTCCCAACCAAGACATGAGGCTTTGCAGTTTTGATCACAGATAGCAGGTCTGGCGTTTCCTTCGTGTCCCATTCAGAATCATCTCGCGCATATGGGACTTGAGCCGCAGTCAATTGATCACCCTGGGACTTTAGAAGAAGCCCCTGCTTGTCCAAGCACCAAATCTGCTTTGCGGCTTCTACCTTGGACTTGCCTGTTTCATTCGCAATGGCTCCACATATCTGGTCTGCGATTCCTGTTCCGGCAGTCCCTGAGCCGAACATGACAAACCGCGCATCACCCAATTTGACATTGCTTACGCGGAGGGCCGGTATGATAGCGGCCAGCGTGACACATCCGGTTCCTTGAATATCATCGTTGAAACAGGGCGCGCGTGACCTGTATTTATCCAGAACCCTTTTGGCATTCTGAAGGCCAAAGTCTTCACTGATGTGTATCAGTACATTTTGCTCACACTCTTTCAAGGATTGGCCTACAAGTGAATATACGCCTTGGGGAATCGCTTCCGAGCAATGGTCACGAACTTCTCCAAAAACTCATCGTATTCCTTTCCGCGGGCCCGAGGCTGACGAAGACCGAGATACAGCTCGTCCTTGAGAAGAGTTTCATTCTGCAGCTGTCAGTTGGCATTTCCTAAAGTTGCTTTATTAGGCATCTATACATTTGTACCGCAGTCCAGTACCACTGGGAGTTGTCGAGATGGATGAATTCCACCACACAAGGTGGTAATCACCAACTTGGCCGTGGATATCAGAATAGCTCCAACTCCCTGGTCTCCGATTCCGAGGATCTACTGAAGTTAGACCACATTCGAAATTGTAGGGACATGGATAATACCTACCTCTTCACCGTCGCTAACCACAATGTAATCAATGTCTTCACCACCGCCAAAATTTGATAGGCATTCCTCTATTCTGTCCTGATCCGTAATATTTAAGAAGCAGCCTTCCGGTCTCCGAAATATTCGCGAATAGTTCTGTATAGCATCACCTTCAGTCGGTGTATAAATTACCCCGAACATCTCTTTGAAGTGGTCTTGAAGTAACTGCACATCAACCCAGTCAACATCGTTACCACCAATCTTGGGAAACGAGTATACTCAACAGACCCTATAATACAACACTTCACTCTGCATCTTCATACTCGCCATAAACGTGTTCTTTGCTAGGTCATCCTTCCGGCTGCTGTACTGCTCGTATGCTCTCCGGACCTGTTCGTCCAGTGTCTGGATATTGGGCGGGAGCAGTCCGTGCAGTTTGAATGTCTTGCGTTCATAATCAGGAAATGCAGAGCCCTTATTGAATGCGGATGAATGCAAGAGATTCGTTCCCTGGCTGAGTCAATCACTGCTATGTTGCCAATAAATGAGAATATCCTACCTCGAGTGGACACTCCAATGGCCCCGAGATCGCTCTGGTGAGGTTCTGGAACTTGGATGTTCCGTCTGAAGTCGACATGTTCTGGATTGAGCGGATTGCCTTGATGTTTCGAAGGTGCTTGTAACAATGGCTGTTGATCATCGGAATGATTTTCTTACTGCTTAACCCAGAACCGCTGCAAGCTTCATCGGGTAAATGAGAACCGAAGAGTGTTAAGGAAGACAGGAATGAGATCTTAAAAATCAATACATGATGTTGCTTCAGTGGAGCTGCTATGAGTTGCTAATGACGTAGGCAGATTAATTTTCAATGCCTGTTAACAGGCAACTGGATTGCTCAGTAAATCGGCTCTATAGGCTAATATTTATTCTTATAAATTTCGAAACAAACAAACAATTTTGCATTTGATAAATGCAGAGAATGCCTTGGGTTGTCTTCATGATGTCACTTACATCCATACGAACAGATCGAACGGTCGCTGGCTAGTTGATATATCCCATGCACACTATTTGCATATTACACCCGTTATTAATGCTACAGCCCATATATCCTCCAAATTGTCCAAAGTAAGAAACGTAGGACCTCTCTGTACTCCTTACTATAGAATCTTGATAGAGGCACGTGATAATAAGGCAAGGCTACTGACTAAGCTAATAAGCGAGATAAAACCACCGCAATTTCTGCCGATTTCTTTCAATTTCAACACCCGCGCAAACGGCGATTTCTGACCAACAAGGAGAATTATGGTAGTTTTGAGAGGTCTCAATTGTCAATATGATGCTTTTGGCAGATAATGAGTTAGATCTACAATGTGATAGTGGTGAATGGTGGTGAATGTCTACGACGAATCAAACCCATTCCATCAGGGGTACGAGGTGCACACAATGACAGTGCACAACAATATACAGAGTGCAATTGATACGAAAAAGCAACTCCGCAATCCAGCTGTCCCTGTCCATCTCCATGCTATTTCCGGATAGATCGTGGAAAGGACGCCAACACGGACTCTTCTCTCATAAGAAGGACAGTCGAAACGGTCACGTCTTGTGTCTGTCGCTGGCTGGAGCTGGGGTTGTGATGGGATCATGCGAGTAATCGCGTGGTTTCGATGGTACTTGGTACCGAGTTGCAAGAATGAAATACAGGGCCTTCATAGTTCATGCGTTTGCTCGCGCTTTTGTATTTTCTACGAGAGCATGACTCCTTGCGCACCTACATACTTTGATTCAAATTGCGTATATAGTTTATTAGTTCTATATCAAACAGAGTAGCTTGAATATATATATTTACAGCTTGCTCTTGGCTTCATCGTCGATGACCTTTACCACAACCTTGCCCCAGGTTCCTCTTCCACCCAGAGCCTGCAAAGCCCTGGGAACACTCTCCAAGCCCACAAAGCTCTCATCCTTGAACGCAGTACCCTTGAACTGACCACGAGCCACCAAGTCAAAGATTCCTTGCCAAACAGGCCCAACCGTCTGCGGCTCGAACTTGGCATACTGTCCCCAGTGCACACCAACCAGGCTAACATTTTTCAGCAACACCCGGTTCAGCGCGGCCTTCTCAATTTTGCCCGCAGCAAAACCGATCACCAGCAGACGCGCATTCCACGCCACACATTTAAGACTCGCTTCAATCATACCCACTGGGTCATAGACGATGTCCACACCAGCCTTCCCATTTCCACTTCGATTCGCCGCACACAACTTCTTGACCTCCTCAGGCCAGTTCTTCTTCCGGTAGTCAATGACATAGTTCGCCCCGAAGTCCTTCGCAATCTGCCTCTTGCGCTCCGTTCCCGCCGTCGCAATCACAGTCGCTCCCTTACCCTTGGCAATCTGCACTGCAGCCAATCCAACACCCCCAGCAGCCGCATGCACAAGCACCCAATCACCCGCTTGGACATTCGCCCGATGCACCAACCCCCCATATGACGTCGGCGCCGTAACAAACAGCCCAGCGGCATCCTCAAAGCTCCACCCCTCCGGCACAGGCAGGAGAGCCTGCTCCGGCGCTAGGATATGAGTGGCATAAGCGCCCTGGGTAGCTCCGAAGACGCGATCACCGACATTGAAGCGATGCTTCTGGTCCGAGGCTGTTGGCACGGCGAGGATGGTGCCGGCAAACTCAGCGCCTCCGACCCATGGGAAGGGCGGCTGGTGTTGATACTTGCCCTGAATCTGGAGCAGGTCGAAGAAGTTGGTGCCCGCGGAGTGGATTTCAATTAGGTAGTGATCGGGCGAGGGCGAGGGAGTGGGAAGGTCATTTACGGTTAGGTCAAGAGGACCCTATTGTTTGAACCGGTTCCGTGATTAGCTATGGGCCACGCGAATAGAGCACAATAGAAACTATTGAAAAAAAAAAAAAAAAGCAAAGGACCAAAATAAAGTCACCGGTTCCTTACCTTGACATATTCCCGAAGCTGAATAGCTCGCATCCTGTTAAGATCCTTAGATTAAGACTGATAACGGCACACCCAAAATTGAGACACCACGTTGGCGGTCAACTTCACTTGGGAATAGTTCCGAGGAAAAAACCTGCGATAGCACCGAGCTAAAAAAGATGTCAAGATTGGAGACAAGAAGATGAAGAATGGGAAGGACTAAGTAAAAAGAAGAAAATCAAGATGTGCAATGAACGAACTGCCCAGTAGAGCCATCCCCGCGTTATTGCATCGCCCAAATGGGTAATAAGCCGAGGTCTGTTTTCGGATAAGGCTCCGTGAGAGTTCTGTTGTCTCTATGGTATATTGTGGTTAATTTGATAAAGCGACGACTGATTATCAACTTTCCTTTTTTGCTTTTGTGTTTGAACGGCTTTTCTCGTATTGTTTGGGGCTGTAGATCATATATCATGTTTAAACTATATCGGAATTGAGCTGTTTTCGGTTTGATGCCCTTGTCACCATTTAGAGTTGAATTTCGAGACAATGGTGAAGTACGGCAACTTTGTGACAGAAAAGGCAGGGTTTCTTTGAAGGATTGGTTGTTGTAAATCAAGGGAGACTATTCTTGCCACATGAAACCATGCCAATACATTATTTGCAGTAGTAGTGACGATATAGTAATAGTAGTAGCTAAATGCAGCAGTGACATCCCGAACTCCTGCCTGCTTCATGGATATAGTTTAGACATGATACATATATACAATGTTAAATAAATGACCAAGGGTTTTCTTCCCATACGCCAAGGAACCCATTCCTGTTGGGTATCCGCCTTTTTCGAGTATATTCACAACAAAGAAAATGAAATGCAAACCGCTTCACATGCCACCCAAACACGGATATAGATAGACAGATGATATAAGTCGAAACAGTACAGGACCATCATGCATAGCCACAAGGCAGATAAAAATAAAAATAAAAAATAAAACAAGGTAAGAGATCATCCAACCGTTTGAGGTATCAATAACTGGAAGACAAAGGAAAAAATAGATATGAAACAAAGGAAAGGACAAAAGAAAAACATAAGACAAAAATTAGAAATTAGAATCCAATACCTGGGGGCTTGTGCACCAAAGACTCTTGATCCGGATATGGGTAGAGAGGTGCACACATCATCGGATGCTGTCCACCAGGAAAGAACTGCGAGGACGGATTTCCCATGTCGTAGACATGCGAAGATGCCTTTGCCGGCATTGAAGCCTTTCTTTCCATGTATTTTCGTGCATCGCCTCGTGTACCGGTGTTGATACCGCCGGCCATAGCCTCTGGGCTATTGCATTGGAGGGACATGGCACGTCGCCATTGCTTCGAATCTCCCATGAATTCCGGCATGCCGCCATGCGGCAACATTCCATGATATTGCATAGGTTGAGACGAGTAGACGCGACCAGACGGGTCCGGAGAGCCAGCTACCGGAGAACCGACGGATGGTGCAGCAGTGTAGAAAGGAACCGAGTGATGCTGAGAAGACATGGGGTCGAGAGGAATCGAGAACCACGGAGGAGGAACGGACCATGGTACTGATGCGAGAGAGGTGGTTGGTGCAGAGGATTCTGGCAAGCACACATCGGGTGCCATTGTGTAAGACGGGCTGGAGTAAGGCGGAGCCATAGTGGCAGACGGATTGAGCAAAACGCCGTCAACGGGAGTAGAAGGTTGTGATGGATCATAGGAGCTGGTGCTAGGAACCACACTGGGAAATTGGTTCATCACAGACGGACTGTTGGAAAGGTCCCGGTGGTGAGGGTGACCTTGAATCCAAGCGCTGGAGAGATCCTGCTCCTCGAGAGACACCGGGTGCCAGTCTACCTTTGACAACGAAGGGTTCTTCGCAGCCGGCTGCGGATACTTCTGTGTGGTTGGAGAGGCGATCGAAGTATGGTCTTTGGTCGAAGCATCGTCTAGGTCACTGTCATCCAGCGTAGCTTCCTGCTGACCATCGTGGGACTTTTTGCGAGTCTGACGAGAAGGCTTGGTAACGCGCCATTTCTTCAATCTGCTTCGCAACTGGGTTTCACTGGGGCGGGTTAGCACGGAAGCAATTGTTGTGTGTATGCGAACAATTCGTACCTAGGATTGAAGTCCTCCGAACGAATCTGCTTGATGACCTGCTTGAGCGGCCACTCCTCATCCTTGTAGAGTTTGGCAATCAATGCCCTCTTCTTCTCCCAAACGTCTGAAGGGATTGAATTTTTCATTTCTCACGAATGGCGGACAGGTCAGTATTGGGAAAGGAAAACAAATCAAGAAAGTTCCCTTGAGGGTTTAAGAAAAGATAAATACAAGTCAGGAAGACTTGGTTCGTGAGAAAAAAGAAGTTAAAGAGAAAGACCGATGAAGATGGGAAGAGTCAGGAAGAGCGAAGACAGATCTATATGTACCAATGCATTAATTAGATGGAGATAACGACCGGACCCAGAACAGACAGACCACACTAGAGAGCCTCGTGCGTGATGATGGATGGGGCAAGTCGGGGGAGGGAAAACAAGAGGTCGATCAACCGTGGACGTGCCCAAGGAATATGATATTAACTCTCTCGGCGGTCCTTGTCCTGGCCCTGGCTGAACCAGAAAGTGCTGGTTACCCACTTTGCCTCCCCCCGTTAAATTAAAAAAAAAAAAAAAAAGAAAGAAGGATTGACACTGGGCAGACTAGACTAACTGCCCTCCGTTACATAGTTACCTAGTGTGTATGTGCTCCGTACTCCGTAGTAGTAGTATGGAAAGGAAGATTTGCCTTGGGATGGAGATTGTCCACAATAGGGATAGTCTGATACGGTAACGGTAATCCTACCACGGAGGCCATTACCGCCTGCGGTAAGGCTCCGAGAGAGTCTATGCTTAATTGGCCCGTCTAAGAGGGGGAAAACGGGCATCTGGAACCCCAGAGAGCCAATAACAAAACAGCAGGCGGTGGAGGCGTTCAGTTCTGGCACAGTCCATTGTCTCGGGTCCTGTCAAGCCGCTTATCCATGCCCTCGGAGAGGAAAGTCGTATGTACGAAGTACTAAGTACAGTAGTGTACCACAGGCAGATCTTCGGAAATGAAAGAGGACTATATCTATGAATATTCGGAATTGGACCAGCATCATGTGACATGGGAGATTGACATGATTTCCATCATTCATCTCGAGCATCGCAATTATTTATCTATAACATTGTAGAGAGCATCATGATCGACGTATCATTTCACGGATATAGGCAGGATTCTGTAGACAAGAGTAGCAGTACTCCGTAGTGTGTATCAAAGTCAGGTAACACATAGAGTTGACTGCCGTTATTCACCATTCATTCCGTCAATAGTCGAGGGAAATTCTCCTCTCCTCGATCTCGAACCATGTTTCTGCTGTTTTCTCATCCATGTAACTCATGTTTCCATAGAGGTCTCTACACAAATTCTCTTCTTTCTATTGTTAATACGCTTTTCTTATTAATCTCTATCTATCATTTCGACCAGTCACCTGTCTTTTCTGACAGCACATGGCATTGGTCTTTTGTCATGGTCCACCGGAATCCACATCCGTCAGGGTGCAATGTGGTCATGCACGGAGACTGACTCTAAATGTCACCTAAGAGAATTAAGCCCGGTTCAACATGGGCGTGACTACCCATCCGGTGCCATTGCATGATTCTTGATTACAACCATTACAGGTACTCTATCTATAGCATCTACTCTGTACCTCTATCATATCGTACCTGTTATCGACGGTTCTAGACAGCATCGTAATCCTCTGTACTCACTGAATCAGGTTGATTGACCTGACTCGCTCATCACTGTTCACGATCCGGGAGGAGGCAAGAAGCTGAAATGACGATGAGAGAGATCCCCAGTGCACTCATTTTAATCTATTTAATTTTTGACGGCTTCCAGATTTGCTGCCAAGAACAGGCTCTTTCTCCAACTCCAAATTGCCAGACGATGATCCGAACTCAGCAGGGTAAATGCAACTACACACCAACTTGCAGCCGTTGAGTTGACCAATACCATTTTGGGAGGGGAGGTCATTTTGGCGTGAATTGATTGGGTAAGGGCTTGGAATTAGCTACTGCTAGTCATCCGTAGTGGAAGATCAGGTTCTCCGGTCATAGCATTTCAGCATGGAGCATCAATTACGGGAGAGCTGCGCGATGGACATGTTTTTTTTTTTTTTTTATGAGGTATTAATTTAAGCATGACTAACGATCGATCATTAATTAATTTGCCTAATAACAATTCAAGAGGTTATTCTTCAACAACTGCAAAATGCAAGCTTGACCACGCGGTGAGACCACCTCCACAGCAACCTCTCCAAGATTGGTCCAAGAGATTTCTCTACGAAGCGGAGTGAAGAATACTCACTAAGCAGGAACCGGTCCTAGAAAGGAAAATGTGGAGGTCGGGCTGATCAAGACCAGGTGTAATTGGTCCGTGATGAGGAAATACAATACTAAAGATAACCCCGTAGATAAACCTTCAAGAGTGGGTCACAATTTGCCCCTTTCTCTCTCATCATTGGATGAAAATAGTGACGCTGTTGTATTTTTGTATGTAATAAATACGGACCTGTTCATTCTTTTAGACTCCACTTAGGGCTACCGAGGGAACCGGATTAACCGGGAGAGCTAGCCATATCAGGCAATATGTGGACCAAACCTAAGGGATCTCCCCGGGTCCTCACAGAGGTTGAGCACGTTCTTCATTAAATCTCTGATAATATATCGAAAGAAAATTACAGGGTAAATTTGATATGCAAGATTTGAGAAGATAAAAAAGTCAGAACTAAAGCAAGATAATAATAACAATAATGTTACTTGCTAGCATTACTAGCCCCTGTTATCCCCGTACTAACTACATACATACATATCTCCGTTTTCTCCGTACAATAGTCCTCGGGTGATCAGCTACATTTGCAATCCATAGTGCAAAAAGAAAATGACGAAAAGTACGCCCTAAGGTCCGCAAGGGCCACGCTGAGATCCTTTTCCTGATTTGCCCGCTGGCGAACCCGAGTCAGTCGAGTCAGTGATGACAGTTCTTCTGGCACCAGTCAGGACTCATCATGGGATCGATATCAATTTGCATTATACACAGGGATCTCAGCGTGAGTGACACAATGTACGTCAACGATTAATCAATCAGATACATGTCGGCAGTTGTAGCTATCGGCAGTTATGTTTTTTGTATTCGGTACCGAGGCTCTCTACCAACATGAGGTATTTGTTCATCTACTGGAACTGGAACAGGCAGAAGAAATGGAAAAAACCCTTTGGAAGGAATCACGTTTACTATCTTATAACCGGGATCATCAACGGTTATACTTAATCTAGCACATGGGTGACTATTCAGTAATCTGTCCATATTCCAGAAGCGGTATAAATTCCATACTGGGACTGTAACCCAGACCAAAACGAACCATAGTTCGCCTCTCGGTTGCCATACCAAATACGGTAAATAGTCCGATGCCCTACCAGGCCTCAAGTCCACCATGTGTCCTCTTTGCAACTCCCCTCCTCAAGCTGAGTTTGGGGACGGACAATAACGACGTCTGTCTAATGATTTTGTTTCTTCCGGAGGAGGGTCTGAATGGGGAGTAGTGCAGCGTAGCATAACTACATGCAGTTGTTCCTGCGCATCGGTTGAATGAGGGTTGTCATCTTGCCCCAGTTAATTTCCCCTCTTATCCGTACGCTTTATGACGATGGCAACCAGTATCTCAAATCATGAGAGCTTAACTTCTATTTGTAGAAAGAGCCTCACTTTCTCCTGTCTGTCTGTCGCTCGACTGTCACCTCTCCACGGGAAATGAACGGACTTGATCTGTGCCCAGAATAGAACCCACCATGGCTCTCCGTCCCTGTCTTCGTACGAGTCATGCCCTTCCCCCCTCCCCTTTTTGGCAGAAACAGATCCTGGACTGACCAAGGATGGCTGGTCTGTTCATGTCATCCTAGACGATTGGGCCATTGACATAAGTCTAGACATTTGTCGACATGACTAGTTACGGGTTGATTCCGGACCATAGAGCCGGAGTACAGACAGACATACCTGCATAGTACATCCACACATATTTGTAATTCAGATAGAATTTTCACCTCTAATATTTCCTGCACAGGATACTATGACGAGCACTGCACAGTCACTCCTGTAGGATTCGGTGGAACATGAAACGAAACTCGTACTGTGACAGAAACAGTCTGTTTCAAGACCCCGGATAGGGCAAACTCCTTCTTCCCGCGTTCCTGAAGCAGTAGTAAACAACAACGATGATATAAAACCAAATCATGTGATAGCACAAAAAAATAAAATAAAATTACAGTTTTCGGATCCTTCAACGGTTGTCATCGAAATCTGTACTCCGTACATACCCCGTTCATTCTATACAACACTAGTGCTGCACGTGTAGACCTGACTAAGATTCCGCACTGGTTACCGAATCGGTCGAATGCCCCGTGGCTAGAGAATCATTGATCCGCGGTGATCTTTTGGTAATTTTTGTTTTTTATTTTCAGCCCTTTGCTCGGGTATGTAGTACAGTAGTAGTACAGAGTACAGCTGTTGGAGATTTAACTTTGCTTGATTGCACCATTGTTGCCTCCACTCCATCTGTTTTTGTAATCCTACGTTGGTTATGTCATTGCGCTTGTGGAGTGCTGGGCGTCCAGATGCAGAAGTACTTGTACGGAATTTATGTCTGCATTATTCACGATGACTAACTGCATGAATCCGTACTCTGTACTCTATTCAATACAAACAACACTCTGCTCTATCTACGCTCGATCTATCTACACCCAAGCATATATCAATTGACCTGTAAGACGCCAAACACACCATGACCCTGCTAACGGCCGTCATTCAGCACGCGGATGATGGGTCAGAAATCTTCTCGTCGTTTCCGTGCCATCGTTTCAGTGAGGGCTTCAACAAACTTACTCACCCTTGTCGAGGCCTTCACCGCAAGAGATGGCTGGCTAACCCTGTCAATATGGTTATGGTTATGGTTACGACGGTCCACCAGGGCGCAACAATGTACTTTGCTCGCGCAGGGTCTGACTTTCTAACTTTCTACTCCGGAGTGCTATTCTTGTCATTCTAGACGAGTATATAAAAGTACCTGTCACTCAGAAGAGAGAGATGCATAAGATTAGGTTTTCATTGTTGTTTCAGAAGTTGGTGTGGGATTGATCAAACAGGTATAGCCAGAGTGTGGGTTTTACCAAGAGGCTAACACATACGAGAAAGTGAAGAAGTGAGAAGAGAGAAATCAACACTTAGACGTGCCACGAGGCCGTCTGTCCATCATGCCATTCATTCATGCCGGATTCGGCTTGGATATCACAAAAAGTACAGAT